GTCTAACAACCTACTTGTTTTAGGCCTCTATGTTAAGGGTGCATAAGTACTTAGGTAGGTATTCCCTAGACGACTTTTCTTCTGCAACCACGGAGAGGATTCGCAGCTAGGAACCCCATAAAAATATACTGCTTATAAATATACTGCTTATACTATAACGCTAAGACAATGAGTTTACAATACCTAGGTACACATAGTCCTAATAATCTAACCTAGCAATTATATGCAATTTTACTACCGATAAATTCTAGTGCAACTACTAGGTACGGAGAAGGATATTCTTACCCTCACACAGGAGCTATCTGCGTTGAGGCACTTCGTCGTGCCGAATGCCGAACAATATGCAGAAGTTAGTCTGGCCCTGCGCAAGCTTCGAAAAACTAAGGCGCTAATTCCCAATCATCACACGGGCTACTGAGATCTGCGGCGGACATAGCCTTATCGCTACAGAAATTTAGTATCCTAACCTAGTGTATTCACTCCATTAATGTTAGGTACTAGGTTAGAATATTTAGAAGAAAAAAAAGCCTAGGAAACTACCTGGACAATATTTTACATAACGAGATAGACCTCGGACCTTACCGGTGTCTCTAGCAGATGGATATCTGAATTGAATATGCACCTCTTAGTAGCTTGTCGAAGAGATAGTTGGTGGGGTCCTTTGGCACGGTATCTAAGTGATACTTGATAGGGAGGTGCCTGTTAACCAAGGTACCTAAGTGAGGTCATTCCACGGAACTATCTACGGACAGACCGTGGAACATTTCGCAGTAGAGCGACTCATCTAGTGGCGGGAAAGGAACTACGATGTTCCTTTGAATATGTAAACCCAGGGTTATGCCTGTACTGGCGTCGCCTTTCTACCTATGATTTTTTCTAGCACGTCTGAAGAGTAATGTATTTGCCTTATCTCTAGGCTTTCTAAGCAGCCATCCGGTCCGACGGGATAGGTAATCCCAGTAACGCCTCACGAGGCCAATGACGGAACCGACAACTACGTAGACTAAATGGCTATTCATTGACTCGCGTTCGAGTCAATTCCGAGATTTCATCTAATATATCACATGGCAATCCATTCAAATACCCTGTAATCACAAAAATTCCTCGCAATATAAAGTTTGCACCTGCTCTAGTTCTTCCCGACAATCTTATACCCAGTTCTTTACGACTATCGGCCACGTGCGAGCCATGCAGTTCACAACTCGCGTAGGCAGCGAGGTCGCCGGAAAGCTTGCCCCGATCTCAGTCAGGAGACATGCACAGTCTCCATCGGTCGCCCCCGGACCTGGATATCCGGGTCCATACCGTGGTACACAAAAGATGTCAACCTTGTGACTTGTCTCGGGATGCTGCTTGTGGGTGTGTTGATCCTTAAGCTATCTAGGAATGGTATTTCCACAAATTCCCCTTTTCCAAGGACCGAATTCCTTTCCTCGTAAGTCCTTGCGTCATAACCATCTAACCTAGTGAATTGAAGCTCGTAGTAAATATTTCTCATAGCTCACTCTTGAAGGGACAACTACATCGGCATTATGCCATAGGGTTACGGATATATGACTTGACTTATTCGTAAGACTCAGTTGCATGGGACAGTATGTACAATGATTTTAGTCGATGTAGTTGCTATAGAATACAATGATACCTGACCTTCGGGGAAACGGGAAACGGGAAACGGGAAATCGGGTTATGGAATAGAAATAGATGTGACGATAGTATGTGTAGGTAACTATACCGGTGATACTGTAGCTATTATATCTTTTACGGTACCACGAGTTTACTTGTTTAATTAACCACTAACTAGTTAATACTAAAAAAGTAAAAAGATTAGGCTTACTATACCGGCAATTAGATAGCCACCTAAGTTACACTCTTTATTACCTTGTTTATAGAACTCTTGTTAATAACTTAGCCCTTTTAGGTAGTTGTTGCACGCTGGGTGTAACTACCCAAGGACCAAGGTAACTGGTTATTCGCAATAAGACAAAAGGTCGTTTCTTTCAGTAATGTTGGTCTTTTAGTGGTATGTCACACTAATTGATATTGGATTTTGAGCCCGGTGGATTTAGGTCTAATAATATAATTTTACTTACTTAATTGCTATGTCGAAGTTGGTTGCACGATAGAAACTGTCTGTTGAAGATAGATTAGACTTCGGTACTTGACGAGCCACAAGTTTCACCAACCCTTGTAGAAGCCATGGCTGTGTCTACCAATAATAGACGGAGGAATGACCAAGTTTGGAAAGGGGTCTCAGGCGTATGGACCCCGCTCCAACTAATAAAGACATCCAACGGTGCCCAGAGCTTCGTTTAGCAATTCTAACTGGTTGATAAGTCTGCAAGGTACACGTTTCGGCACTTGAGCGTTTAAATGGTCATTCATAAAAGCTATGTACATACAGGCACTGCGTGAGGATGATCAGTGTCGCGTCGATGATAAACATCTTAGGCGACATGAGGCATCAAACAACATTTCATGTCTGATACTAACGGCTAACGGGGCAAATATACTACATATCCTCCTTCATGTATCGTGCCTCGTTAGTGGGGATAATACACATAAGTGATAATATCGAAGTATCTCAAGTCATGATATTTTTGTATTTGTCCTGCCCGAATAGGAAAGCGAGATCTCTTGCAAACAACCCGGAGATCTCTAGTTAGCCAGTTGGGTGGCGTAGCATCAAGGGTACGTTTGGTGATGCGGGCGCGGGGACCCTTGTCTATCGTGGGCTTCGCGCGAGCTCCTATTTGATCCAGCTGTCTTGTCAAACTTGGTAACAAGCTCACAAGGCCCGAATCCATACAGGGCCCCTTAAGACATTCTAGATGCAAATGCAGAAGGTCTCAGTCTCTATTCGGGATGGCCGCCCACATGTCACAGGCACACGCTAGAAAGGAGCCTTGATAATGTTTTGTTCCTGATGAAAGAGTCTCGCGACCCCTGGTCATTCTTGACAATTCCCATTGGTGTTTTATTTGTTCCCCTCTCAATGCTTTCATGCGCCCGACCATAAATACCCCTTATTTAAATACAAGGGCGCTCTGCAACAATATTATGGTGTCGCGATAGATCCAGGTCTAGTCGAGATCTTCATTCATTGTTCGATTCCATTTATACCTCTTAGTGTTGATCACTATACAAATTCAGTTCTTCCTCAAACCACTTTTATAGAGACTATCACAGAAATGCGCAATAATATCCTTATCTCAGCCCTTGCCGTCGCGGCGGGGTCTCTCGCAGCAGACTGTAATGGACATGCCGAGCTCTGCGATCGGCAGTATAGCAAGGTCACCTTCGTAGGGGCGCACAACTCCCCTTTCGTTGGGGTTGGCCCAGCAGACAATCAGTTAACCGACCCGACGGAACAATTAGACCAAGGTGTGCGATTCCTTCAGGCGCAAACCCAAGAAAAGAACGGATCGCCCGAGATGTGCCATACCTCGTGGTAAGTTACATCTCCAATCTATTACTTTATCGCACGGACGCAATAGTAATTCTTTGCGAAAAAGCTTATTAGAGGATGCCGGCTCATTACAAGATTATTTGGGCCCTATTAAAACTTGGATCGATGCTCATCCAAACGAAGTTGTAACGCTGCTTCTAACAAACCCCGATGCGATTGACATCAACAAGTATGGCGATGTGTTCAAGTCAACTGGGCTGGATAACTACGTCTTTACACCGGATAAGACGCTCGGCCTAGATGACTGGCCGACTCTGGGAGATATGATCTCAAGCGGCAAGAGAGTCGTGGTGTTCATGGGTATGAGTTACCTGTTACCTATATCCCGAGTTCTTCGATTGGGTAAGCTAATAGCCAATAGATTACAACATGGATACTTCGAAGGTCCCGTACATTCTGGACGAGTTCGCCTACTACTTCGAGACTCCATTTGACCCAACAGAGGATATACTAAGTGGATGCGGCGTTGATAGGCCTTCGGGCGTTTCAGCTGACGGCCGGATGTTCCTCGCCAACCATAACCGGAATGTCGAACTCCTCCCTGATGTCTTGATCCCGGATCTGATTGAGGCGCACAATACGAACTCGGTAGAGTCTATCACCGCGCAGACAGACACTTGCAAGAGCAGCTACGGCCGCGTGCCCAACGTAGTCTTGGTGAGTGCCTAAGATCCATGCAAAACTATGATATTCTAATCACGTACTTCACGGCGAATTGTGCTAACGAATTGCTGTAGCTTGATTTTGTTAGCGTGGGAGACACGATAAAAGCCCAGGACTTGCTCAACGGGTTATAAACCTCGTAAGAAACGAGATTTTACGAGGCCGTACTTTATCGTAACGATGATGACGACCCTTTATTTTCGAGCGTTACCTATTCCTAGTTATTTGTACGTTAAGGTGATACCCAATCAGTCAGTGGGCTATTCATGTCTAGGATCAACATAGAGAGCATTTTGGTTTCTGTTAATTTTCATGTATATACTTGAGGCTATATTCTCTAGGAGATTGAGTCATGTATTGATTAGGATATTTTGGTTAGCTATCTACATGTAGGTATGGTTTGGTGGTAGTCATTCGAAATTGACAATTTAAGTTACAAACAGACTACAGTATACCCGGAACTTAGGCTAGGTATCCATGCGTAGTACTACGTCGTTAAGACGGTTTAACGACCAAGTCTAAGCTAATAGTATATTGTACAATACCAAAGAATAACTGTTTACCTAGTAGATACGTCACTTAATGCATACATTTTTAATGCGATGCTATGCTGACCAATGAAGGAATTCGAACTCTTCAGCGTGTAAGTTCATCAAGTTGGCCAATCATAGGGCAGCTATAAATATCATTTTCTTCAACAAGCGCGGGCGGCATTCAGGGCGCTTGGCAGAGGTTGTAAAATCAGTCGTAGCCAATCAATGTCTCCGCATTACAATGAACTTCAGAAGTTAACCAATCAGCGCTCTAGAAACATAACGAAACTCCAGGGTCCGTAGCTTGCCGCCGGTACGCTACCTTGGATCCAATAGAGAGGCACATCACGATATTGTCGGATCTGGAGCCGCATACGCTATGCCGGTATGCCGGTATGCCGGGCAAGTATACTTATTTAAAAGGGCCATTGCCGCAAGGCGCAAGGAGGAGAAAAGTTAAGGACTCGTTACTACATCATCTCTACCGACATCAGCGTTTCCTTTTGTTTATATTTCTGTCTTTGTGGAAAGAATACGATTTTTACATTTAATCCTTAGTCTCTTGAAGTATCTTTAACTTGATCTTAACGCCAATTGATACCTCGATAATATCTTCATATAGACGAAAACATGAAGTCCTCTAGTACACTCAGCCGGCTGAGCTTAGTTGCCTCTGCAGGTATGTCCCCTCTCATTACCCCGTACTTATATCAACCACTAACTTAAAGTAGCGTTATCTCTCTTCACTACCTCTTCCCAAGCACAGGATGCTAATAGCACATCACCAAATACGACCGCCGCCTCGGCCTTTATCTCACCTCCGCGAGACCTCGCATTCGCACTCAATGTCCCTAGCGACTCTACCACCGATCTATACTTCTCATTGATGTTCCCGGAGGGGACGAGCTGGGGGGCCGTTGGACTTGGATCCGACCGCATGGCTGGCTCGCTGATTCTGCTAGCATACCCGTCGGAATCAGGGCAGAACGTCACATTGTCGCCGCGAATCGCTTCGGGTCACTCAGAGCCCGTATATACCCCTGATATCCAGGTCGACGCATTAGATGGTACTGGACTCAACAACGGGACTTTTATCTTCAATGGGCGTTGTAGCAACTGTCGGTCATGGTCGGATGGGAATGGAAAGATCGATGTTGCGAGCAAGTCACAGAATATGATATATGCCACGGGCGACAGTGGCACCCTCAAGTCTGATTCGTTCGATACGCCGCTGAGGATGCACTATAACTATGGTACATTCACGTTAGACATGGCCCACGCTACGGGACCGGCGGGCGTTCCGATAATTGATAGGTCGGAGAACAGCACACTAGTCGCTACGACTCAGGGGCTATCAAAGGAAGGCAAAAAGGATGTCGCGGCATTGATGCACGCGATCATCATGGTTTTCGTGTTTGTCGGTTTATATCCCTTCGGCATTTTTGTTCTACGCTTGGGAAGTTGGGTCCGTTGGCACGGGATTAACCAGGGCTTCGCTTTCATTCTCACTATTGTCGGCTCGGGTCTTGGCTTCTCGATCAGCAAGTACTACAATAGGGTACGTGGGCCATTATATCGTGAGCATTAAAAGATCATACTAACATACTATTAGTCCAAGAAGGTCAACACCGCCCACCAGGTTATCGGCATTCTCATCTTCATTTTCATTTTCGCCCAGTTTGCCCTAGGCTTCTTACACCACCGCAATTTCAAGAAGACACAGCAGAAGACCAAGATGGCCCCTATTCACGTATGGATGGGCCGCGTGATCATCGTTATGGGTGTCGTTAACGCATTCCTGTAAGCTTCCTCCTCGCCCTGTTCAGCCCAGATAAGACTAACTAGTTTCAACTCAGTGGCTTCCCGCTCGCTCAGGCATCGCAGTACAACTATGTCCTCGCAGGTCTCATTCTTTTCCTCTTCCCAGCCATGATCCTCATCCTCGTTACGAAGAAATTCATCCAAAAAAGGTGGAATAAGTCTAAGAACGAACCAACTGGTTACAATATGGAGCCGTGGAACCAGCAGAACGGCCAGGCGGGGCAAGGTAACGGCGCTGCGAATACGCAACAGCCCATGGGGCAGAATGCGAGCATACCCAGCATGAGCACGTATGCACCGCATCATGCACAGGGCATGAAGGCAGATCTCGGACCGCAGCAGAATACTCGAGAATACGTGTAAGAGGGTAGTATGGTGAACATAATTAGGTAATTACCTAGGCTGTGCCGGTATAAAATGCATCAATAGGGAGTTTCGGTATAGGGTCATTCATTTATACTCGGACGGGCAAGGGACAGGGTTAGGTCAATTGGATAACGGGGCGCAACATGAATATAGTGAAAAGGGGGTAGTCATTTCCAACCGGTCACTTACATGTGTCCATTTTTCTAATATTCTTACTCTTTATGATTAGGTACTTACTCAAAATATGGTAGGAAGAGGTGAACGTAACCATCGCGTACGTCTCGGTCGAAAGTATGACACCGTGCAGTAACGTTCTTGTGTCTCGAGTATACACTGTCTAGATATTCCCCATACGATCCAGCTCCTGTATTCCTACAAATATGGACGCATGCCGGTACTTAAGGGGTTATAAATTAATTCTAAAGCGGAAATGGAATCTGATGCTACTGAACACGGGGCTTCCGGGGCTTCAATGTACTTTATCCCTTATTGGTATCCATCAAAAGCCATGCGACACGCGTATATATATGATATGAAAACGAACCGTTTCTCACAAGTACCTCTTTATGGTTAGAAAACATACATACGAGATTAAATGCAACGTAACATACATAGTTATGTGTCCTCTTTTTCAATAAATATATTATATGCACCTCGCTACCTCCAGGATGGTATTTGGAGTCAGCTTTAGCCTACCTTCTGGGACTAACCATATCCAGGGGTTTTTGGCAAAATACATTACTTGCCGTACTCGTTGGCAGCACCTAGGAAAGTTGCTATTCAAATAATGAATAAATCGATAAAGAGGGAAGAAACCCGATCTAAAAGACCATCAATTGTTCTAGAAAGAGGTGACTACTTGCGAGTTCGACGGGGTTTCACGGCGCGCACCGAAAGGAGACATAACGTACTATACGAGACAACATCTAGAATTCGATCATCATCAATCATCATCGCTAAAACTAGACAACGGAGCCACCTAGCCATGAATACAAGGTGACGATACTAAATCTTACCAGCAACTGCATTTGCAGCTGACGCTTTACATTTTTATCTACCAATTAATTTTCCATGCTAGGTTGAAACCTCGCCGGGCCCGGCCTGCTTCCTGCGGTCTAGAAGCATGCATCTACAGGCTGAATTGAGCCTATATAGGTAGCTTCGCGGCACCTTTAATGGCTCGTTACCAAATGCGCCTACTGGAACTTAGTATTTGGTCCTCAGTCTGGCCAGTTGCTGGCGTGTAAAGATCCATCCCATGATAGCTTACAACTTTTCGGGCTTCACTCTCATTATTATTAAAAACTACGAGACCATTCAATGCTACATCTTGGTCACTTACTAGGCCGATTCTAGAGGCTCTTGTCATATCTGCTGTAGCTACAAAAGGATAGCTTAAGTACCTAAGGTACCCAACGACTCACCTAAAGCAATCTCGTGATCTAGAGCAGTTCTAAGCCGACAGCACTTGGTATTTGGTTCTAAAATGGCTTCTCAAATCTCAAGCTTATGGCTCATTCTAAGTCTCTTCACCTTAAGAGCTCTTGCTGCGTGTGCTAGTTACGGTGTAGATTACGTGAACGGCGGTTCATACGACATCGATGCGTCTTCAAACGACAATTTCACATTCACCACTATATTCCAGGGTATGGCAGTATTCTTATACACTAACTTAGAATACGCATAAGCTGACGATGCTTAGGATGCGACCAAGAGTCTGTAAAGCCAATTCTCATAGATCCTAACAACGGTCAATATCCCTGCTCCGCCATAAGTACGACGCCTAGCGGAACGCAAGTAGCCTCAACATGGTGAGATACAGCCAATATTAACTTGGCGTTAATAAGCTGCTTACTATCCTTTAGTGAAATTAAATACTCTTCCATGACTTCCGGGTTATACAAGATAATCATATCTGGAAGTGCAATTGGTGTTCAAAGGACTATCTCCCTTACAGCCGGCACCCCTGAGGTGATTACTATCACTGTAAGAATATAACCCGTCAAATGCCACGGTCAGTTCTTGCCAATACTAACCTCACTATAGGCCACGCCTACTGTCGTAGTTGGTATTACTAGCACACCTAACGCAACAAGTACTAAAGCCATGCCCAGTTGATTAAGAAATAGAACCTAATATGACAATAGCAATATACAAAACCATTGCCCAAACGCTGACTTCAACTCTACCACCTGCGACAGTGACGGCACCTTGCGACGGCACCACACAAACGGTGACTATTACACCAACGGCACCAACAATTACCAGCACATATTTGATTACTCGAACTGCTACAGACAAGAAGGTTACAAGCTACTCGACAACCACGATAACAAAGACAGCCTACTGTCACTATCTAACACTTCCATCATTTACTATACCAGATCTTGTCCCTACGATATGTATCGGACTTGCCTGCCTCCCAAATGTTGGCATAACCATAGGACCTAACACAGCTGCGAAGACCGGCAAGGTGAACGCGGTTGCTGCTGCTGCTTCCGTAGCCGCTACTACTGTGACGGTCACAGAGACTACTTACACCGTTACAAGTACAAGCGTGACCACGATTCCAGCGTCGACGACAACAGAGGATGGTAAGCTTGGATAAATACCCCTATTGGAAATTAAAGAAGCTAATATACCATTATTAGTTTACCAAACGATTATAGCTACTATGTAAGTCCGGCCTTAACACTCATCATTAATATAGCTTGAGTCCCTATAAAGCAAATTGCTAACAATACTGAAGAACACCCGCCCCGACAACGAAGTGTGACGATTCTAGGCCTCCACGTACTGTCACTATCACGAAGCCTTTCACGACGGTTACGCAAACAGATATAGACTACACTACTACGCATGTCGAGGCAACTATTTGGGTCGGGTACGTAATTTTCTCTCTTCAATGACCAACTCACCAAGTGCACTTCCGTACATATAAGTGTTGCAGCATAGCTGACAAATTTTGTAGAAAAACCTCATATAAAACATCGACGAATAAGTCAAGCAAGACGTCCTGCTCGAGGAACGGAGGATGGTACGGAGCTGATGGAAGTATGCCGGTCACGGCTACGGCCTAATAAGTTCGTGTCTATATTAATTGCTGTCATTAGGGGTGCGAAAGGTAGTATCTCATGAGCATTAAGCGAGAGAGGGAAGATGATACCCCTATCAGCTCTTTATTGCGTTCTAGCTTCAGCGACTAGGGATTCTACCTATATTCAACTAAATACTTAGATTATAAGGTGTTCCTTTCATGTGACCCATCATCCGAAAATACCAATATTACAAGATACATCGAGTTAAATATCTAAGATATGCTATGACGGTAAGCCAAATAAAGGGCGCATCGATGCCGCAGTCGCAGCTTCAGCCTCATCATACGACCGCGGATCCGGCCCACGAGAGAGCTGTAGCCCATGACGTGGTATCGTATCCTTGTAGACACTATCCGGCAACGACTTTCCGCTATGGCAGAAGTTACACGAGCAGGGCTTAGGACCGGTGCCGTGGTGATCGCACTAACACATTATAACGAGAGTTAGTAATTCCTTTCCGCGTACAAGAGAACCATGCCTCAAGGGCAAGAATCTACACCAAGACCGGCCATAGGTAGTTGTAAATACCAAATACGTACCCCAAAGTTCATATCGCTAAGTATGCCACAGCACGTCCATCGAAAGCCTTGCGGCCAGTACTGATGCATGCGGATGTCATCCGACTTGAAGTCTTCCTCGTATTTACGTTTCAGCTCCGCCGACTCGGACGCGATACAGTTGCCCCAACCCATTTCGTTGCCAGTAACCGAGCAAACACCACCCCAGGTGATGAGTTCCAGCTCGCTAAAGTGCGAGTCGCCGTCCTCGCATTTTCGGTACCGGTCGCACCACGGCTTACCCGCCGCCATATCGGCCCTAGCACGACATTCTTCCTTGTGCGATGGCCAGTCTTTTTGCTGGCAACCCATACTTAGAAGCTAGTGTTAGCTTCGATGGGCTTGGCTTGGCTGCACACATTGAGCTAAAAGCGGCGGGCATACTGCAGTAGAAGCTAGCTTTGCGTCGCCCGCAGCGCTTAACGACGACATCTCCCTCTTCGAGTTTTCCACAGACTCCACATTTAGCTTCTGCTTGGTTCTCTAACATTGACATTGTGCTAGTCTTTTGACTTCTGATATGCTTAGTTGCTGTCTTTGAATTTAGTTAACTCTTAGTTTTAACAATGCCCCTTTACGGTTGATAATGCGAGCATGTGGGAGGGGAAAAGATTTGTTACATAAAAGCCTGCTTTGAACCTTAGGAGGTAGGTATATATAACAACCTGACCACTAATAGAGGCAAATTATTAGTTAGAGGTAGCTTAGATTATGTGGTGTGGCTAGGTATTTGTGAAGATCAATGATTGCCTCGGTGTATAGAAAAAAACAGGGGGAAATATTGAGATACATGGTGGCCCCTGCACGCGGGGCATGAAGGAATAGGGGCTCGAGCACATGCATGAATAATCGACGACATGAAGTCATATACCTAGGTAGATATACCTCCTATCTATAAGTTGTAATTGGCTTCAATAATGCCCATAGTTTGTTTAATTGTAAGATAGTACTATGTTATCTTCATTTCTTTTTTGTATTAGTCTATCTCCGCCCGAAGTATGATCGCACTTACATATTATCGTTGACGAGAACAAATCGCTCATTGATACTACGAATTCGATTATCTCCTTTTATCTACAAGTAAAGTCTTATTTGTATGAATCTTCATGAAACATTAGTGTGGCGATGTTTCTCTTTATTCTATCCCACGCCTTGACAATGCTCAGTTCTCTTTTGGTAGCAGTGCACATTATCTACCATATCGCCACACGCTCCTGAACTGAAGGGCCAGAAATACCACCTGATCATAGTGATCGATGCGATGATGCTAGGAATCATGCCGATGAGTAGGTCGTCCAGTACGCATTAAGGGGTATGTTTCGAAAGGTAGAGGGTCAAAAGGCAATATCAACCAGCAGGCTTTTTTATGGTGAGATAAATAGGGGTAACGAGTTGAGACATGTATACAGAACGGTATAAGATGGGTGTACAAGTAGGAAGGTAAGCCTAGCAAGGAAAATATAGGATGATTTTTACAATATCAACCATTTAACATGTGTTTATCTACTGACGCATTGCGACCCCAACCCTACGCTAAAAATCAAGGAATTACTAGTTGTGCGTCGAGGACGCCTTATCTCTTGAGGTTTTATTATGGCAGGAGACTGATTATACAACAGACATCTCACGTCTGTCTCATCCATCACGACTTGCGCTTCCAGTCCTAATATTTGTTAGGACCCTAGATCAGCCCCTGTTTTATAGGATGAGACATTGCTCTTCGTAGAGTAACAATGTCGAGGGCTAGATGCTTCGTCACACCCATTCTTGAAAGAAGGAACCCCGGCATATATGTTCATGATGATGCCGGACTCCTTCTATTCACCAGTATCGTCTTACTGCTGCAGGTCATGTGGTACAAGGACGAGTGGCGTTATGGCTGGGTTCGAACAATTAGGAACCTAAGGCTTGGTTTTCAGCTGCTTATTTCTGTGGTGCTGCCATCCCACAAACAAAAGAAAAATAAATATTGCATGGAGTGGACTTTGAATAGCAATGTTCAACTCTCTCCGAGTCCTTAGTGGCCTGTGGAGTCCCTCCTAAGGATGAGACTTGCTGACCTGTGCAACTTCGGCAGCGTTATAATCAGAAGATCGTCGTTTACGACGTCACACATTGTCAGGATTCTAGATGAGACACCTAGAGCAAAGGACGTGTTCATTATGTATAGACACAGACATCTGGTCGTTACAAAGTTCGTCAACTAGGTCTAATTCGGTGAGGGCTAGAACGAGGAAGAGCCTGGGGGGGTATTGTTAAGTTTTAGGTGTGCGGTTTTCGCCAGTCTCGTAGAACGTACTAAGTGCCGTGGTGTTGGAAAAATATAAATACCCGATCAAGGTTGCTCTATTCTTCTGTCTGTCGGCATCTTCTTTCACATCCTTGACTACTAGAATTAAACTACGCTCGACTCCTTCATCTCTACACTATGAAGTCTTTCGGTCTCTTCGGCACTCTAGTTGTCTCTGCCTTGCTTCCCGCAACTCAAGCAACCTGGTGTCAATTCTTCTACGACAGCAGCTGTTCAAACAGCGCCAATGGCAAGACCAACTTCGATTGTGCCAACCACAATGTCTTCGCAAGCGGTGGAGGCTTCGCCAAGTGTCATGGCACAAAAGCAAGCAAGCAATCATGCTTGATCCATCGATGTTCTGACGGGTCATGTTCAAGAAGTGACACATTCAACGTCGCTTCGGACAATTCCTGTGTCAGTATGGAAGGAGCGGGGCCATACTATCAAATATATTTCGCCTAAAGTCTCACGTGTAGGTTTATTATAACAAGCACAACATAGTTAAGAAGCTAATTAGGATAGCAGTTGATAACATTGTGTATCATGTAGTGCTGAAGTCACAAACACTATAGACCTATACATCCACAAAAGCAATGCAGGAGCTTATGTGGGGAAGGAGAGTCACATATCTAGGTAGTTATATGCTATAATTTACCTAGAGTTGCTCTTTTTCATTATTGTGCGTGAATAATTTGGTCTAAGTCCGAAAGTCCTGCAAATTTGAAACCGATAAATATAAATGTGCGAATTATTCCAAGTATGTTGCCTTATAAACACATTATATCTCATCAGAGAGGTATAGGAAATCTTCCGAATACCTATGTACTATAAAGTATCCCGATGTTTATGGTATTGAAGTTCTATACGTAATATGAGCAGACTCTTGTAAGCCTTCTTATTGGATCTTATAAAATGCATAGTAGTGTGTCTATTCCCCATTGCGTCTGAAGATTAGCGGTCCAACAGCGCCACCTCTGCACTTTTACGAAAACTCCACCTCAACGACCGGCCCGCGATATTCATATTTCCCCCGGATGAAATACCAAAAAATCGCGAACAAAATGGTAAACCCAAAAGAACACTGAAGTTCATGTTCGCTGCAACTACTGGAGTAGCCGGGGCCAAAATGCCCAGAACCAAAGAACGAACAGATACAGACAAGCAAACGCGTTGTTGATCACACCCAACACTCCAGGTATACGCCAAGGGCCCCACTGGATATTCCCATAGCTATCAGAGTCATGTGCCTTGATGCCTTGATGTTGAAGACGACGCCAAAGGAGTAGGCTACAGCTGAGCAGGTAAGAAGAATAGAGTCCAACAACGCTCAAGTTAACGATGTTGCTGAACGCAATACTTGAACCGAGAATGATGAGAGAAAGTAGTACGGAGACGGTGATTGTAAAGCTGATAGTGTAGATAGGGATGGAGGTACGCTGGTCAAGCTAGATGTGCTTGTTAGATACCAACTACGTTAAAGCAGTAGTGAAGGAATAGAGAACTAACTATTAGTACCTACCTTGATGAAGTGTGTCCACAAGGGAATTCCTCGATCCCGTGAAAAGGACCACAGCATTCTAGATGACGATGCTAAAACGCCGACCGTGCTACAGATACCAAGAGCCACAACGACTAGACCCATCACAACAGCTCCAGGGATCGACTGAGTTCCCGTCTGGAACACAAACAAAAATGGGTATCCCAAAGTGTTTTGAGATTCCAGGACCGCGTCCAGGTCTCCGAGGCAGAAAAGATAAGCAAGCAACATTGCGAACCCCAAAACGCCATTGAGTACGATAGTAATCAAGATAGCGTGTGGTACTACGGTAGATGCATTTTTAATTTCCTCGGCCATCTGTACAATTCATTGCTCGTTAGCATTTATACTAGTGCTAACTTATGATTACCTGAATAAAGCGTTCGAATCCCTTACGTGCACAGCCGAATCAGCACCTTGAGTGCTATCAGTCAGCCAGCCCGTTCCTTAAAATTGACTTATTTTCTTGGTACTCACCGATCAAAGAGAATACAGCACTGGGTAGCCCAACCATGAATGAGAGTCCCTGTGTGGGCCATCCACCCTCGTTGACGAATGTCGTGAATATGGACGCATCGCCATGGGGGGCGACATAAACTAAAGGAATCAAGATGCCGAGAAAACCTAAAATGTGAAGGATCAATATTAACCCTTCAAAGGGAGCAAGAGTTTTGCTGGCAACAGTGTTGATGAATACTGCAAATGCTAAAACTATCCAGAGGAAGAGCATAGCTTGCCATGGTTGAGGGTTGTAATCGGGCTTAGCCAGAATAATAACACTCTGTAGAAAAGTTCCTATCAAATACGCCGCCGAAGCCGTGACGGCTTGCCAGCCGGCAAATGTCACCCATCCTGAATCGCTTATGTGGTTAGCTTCTTGGCTGAAAACAGAGGTTTTGGCCCTAGTTACCAGTAATATAGCTCAAGAAACGTCTGCTGGACTCAGGGGCCAACATAGCAACCCAGCTACACTAGGAATTAATGGCGAATTGTCCTCTTAGATATCTAAAGGTTGGTAGAATGAAACCATAACATACTGGTACTGACCACCAGCTGTTGGTGCCCTATGAATATCGTGTTAACAATGCGCATTTAAAAACAGGTATGTGTAGGTAGGGTCATGACTTGCATCGATGCTAGTTCTGACAAGACGGCAAACACTGAGATGGTGCCAATCCATACAATAAGGTAGCCCCAAATTACACCTGCTGGGCCGCCGCTACTACTATGAGCTACGTCTATTTTTGAGCAAAGTGGTGCACATACTTCACGAGGCTCTGAGTTGAGACTCTTCAGGACGTTAGCTCTCGTCCCTGCCAGGCAAGTATACCTGTGTACCTAAGATACCTAGGTAGGTAGGTAGGTATGTAGGGCAGATCATGACGAACATCAACATTCCTTCCCATGTTATGAGAACTGTGCACGAGAACCCAAGAACTGACATAAACCCAAAGTTGCGCTATTGGTGGCAGTAAGTTACAAGACAGCGAAATTCGGAGTGTAAGGCTTGCCTTTAACACCGGCTTTTTGCCTAGCCTCATCAGATCTCTCTCATCTCTGGTAAGTTCTGGGTCCCTTCTGACCAATGAAGCCACTGAAGTTGCCACTTTCGCTTGGTTTTGGAGTTCGAAGTCCATAGTTGATGATCGTCTCCAGATTGATACAAAATCACGGATAGTTCAGTCTGATCTGGTTCTATTTGGTGTGGGTAGAATAAGTTGTCCAGATGGCTTGCAGGGAGGGAATAACAAACGCCTTTGAGGGGGCGACGGAGCAGTACAAGTACATCCCTGGCGGCTAAGTTGTGTCACGTCGTGTTCTTAATATCTCACATTTAATGCTGTATAACCTACTCCAACATAGCCTACCTACCTTAGGTATATGCGGATTATGCAATATTGATGCACTGTATCATGAAAGCGATCCGTGGCTTCGGATACCTTAGGTAGATACCTAAGTAAATATATACCTCGCCGTAGAAATGATTCATATAAGATATTACCATATTATCTAGTTTATTCATTTCTCGGAGTGCTAAGAGGATTCGTGAGATATTTGGGGGCGGGTGTAACTGTGATTCCAATCAGTGATATATGTTGATGCCATTACCTTTTCCTACTTTGAGCGCCGGCATTTATCTATCATCTACCATTTCTTGAATCGGGAGCAATAAGCCAAATTCGACATGGAATTGGACTCACATTTTACCGGTGTACGGTCAGACTCGCTGATTAATGACGATAATAGGGCCCCGTTGATACAGATTCTCTCGTGGCTTTTCCTTTCCTTCTGCATTCTGTCAGTTGCGGCACAATTTGGGACCAAACTGGCAATGTCAAAACGCTTAGGGGCTCCCGACTTGACACTCGCGGCTGGTTTGGTAAATACATATATCCATATTAATGGGTAGCATGCCATTCTATTACTAATTGGTTTTATGCATATAGGTATTGGGTATTGGTCAAATATCCATGGTGTTGAGTCCAACAGGACAGGTTATCGGGAATTCGGCTTCACATATTATCCCGGACATGGAGCTGCAACAGGCTCTTATGGTAGGTTGGCCTAATCCAAAGTTATGGCTTGATGCTAAGAATACAAGGCTTTATATGGCAGCGAGATACTCGCTATTTTTACTCTCATGGCTGTCAAAGGTAGCTTACTGATTGCTCTACTTTCTATCACGCCGGTCTACATGCACCGAATATCTATATATGGAACAGGTATAATCACCATGGCCTGGGGGATCACTGCGGTGTTTTCCATGTCGTTCCAGTGTCCTTCACCAAGGTGGTGGGATGTGATTAACGAAACGTGCACAAATATCGTAAGTTTGATGTTCCAATAACGAAGTTCCTAAGGATGCAGAATTAATCCCCATGTCAGCAGTCTATGAAAACATACAACGCCATGATGAATATTCTAACCGACGCCGCCTTGTTGATAATCCCGTCAATAATCATCCTACGTGTGCAGACTCCCTCCGAAGTCCGCATGAAAATACTTGTGGGCTTCTTGTTCCGTGTCTTGTATGTTCTGCATAATACTACAAGATACCTTGCCAATTGCAACCGGTTACAAGGTCAGGCCCGGTCCGTTCGAGAAAGACCAACGTGCATAAGCAGTCTTTTTCAATTATAGAATCATCGCCATCTCAAATTGGAAAAATGGCAGAGGGCACCGTGCAGTTTGACGTTCCCGGCCTCTCCAAGCCTTGCCATACCTGGTACAAGATTGTCGGCGATCTCGAGTCATCTGCCCCTCCTCTAGTTGTGCTACACGGAGGACCCGGAGCATGCCACGATTACCTGCTGCCATTGAGCGATCTTTCATCCTCTAGGCCGCTTATCTTTTACGACCAAATCGGAAACGGCCGCTCGACCCATCTGCCAGAGAAAAATGGCGACGAAGCCTTTTGGTCCGTGGATTTGTTCAAGAATGAGCTCGACAATCTCATCGCTAAGCTGAAGCTCAATTCGCGACCCATTGACGTCTACGGACATTCGTGGGGCGGCATGCTTGCTGCAGAGTGGGCGTCAACGCCAACGAGTTCGGGGAACCTCCGACGCCTAGTCCTCTCCAACAGTCTGGCTAGTATGGATACGTGGCGAGAAGGTATTAACACTCTGAGAAAGCAACTCCCCAAGGACGTCCAGGAAACTCTTGACCGCGCAGAAGAGAAGAAGGAGTTTGAGACTCCGGAGTACGATGCAGCCATGGAAGTCTTCTACAAGCAGCACTTCAGCCTCGCAAGGCCGTGGCCGGCGCCGGAAGTTCAGGCTGCTCTTGATTGGTTTGCCAAAGACTCTACGACATACGGCACCATGTAAGATCGAGTACGTTCACCTATAGCTAAGCAACTTTACTAACCGTATAAAAAGGTACGGCCCAAGCGAGTTGTACATCTCTGGCTCCCTTCGCGACTGGACTTGTATTCCGTTGCTGCACAAAATTCAGGTACCGACACTCCTGATCAATGGAGCACAGGACGAAGCACAGGATGTCACAATGCAGCCATTCTTCGACGAGATCAAGAAGGTCAAATGGATCACGTTGGATAATGCTGCGCATTTCTCACACGTCGATCAACGGGAGGTCTATATGAAGCATCTAGGGTCCTTTCTGGCGGCCTAAATAGCCATATCAATGTCGCCCAGATTGCAGTTGAGAGTGTTAAGTTAATACTTACCTAGGTAGATACATAGGTATTGCAAGATATTTTTACTTTAGACACTAGGCTAGATGACTAGGGTTACGATACTCTATACCGTGTCGTTCTAACTTTGCTCTAAACTTGACTTAGCCTGTCTATAAATTCATCATATGATACATTATGCCTCATGACACTCCCGAATGCTCTAAATGTTGATGCGTACACCATATCTAAAAACAACAGTGAAAAACATGCAATGCTCATGTACACCCTTCTTCGTCTTCATCATCCCCTTCCAACCATATCTCATGTCCATTCCCTTCTCTGACCCAGAAACTCGCAACTAAACCACACAGAGCCACGCCAGCAAGACCCCAAAACACCCCGCCGACTACACCGTGGCTCAGGCCAAGACCATAGAGCCATCCGCACATGACGGGGCCAATCGTCCGGGCGAAACTGCTGACACTCTGCCCAAGTCCATGGACAGTGCCTAACACACTGGGGTGCGGCGTGCAATTATTGACTAGAATCGTCTGGGCGGGGAGTGCAAATGTGCGCCCCGTAACCTGGATGAACAACACGCCGGCAATAGCAACCCATATCCAAGCACCTGTCTTCTGGCTCGGAGGCGACGTACTTGATGGCACAACCGACAAGAATGGTATTAGAGTGTATGCGATAGGGAAAAGAAACAAACACATGCGCCACGAGCGGACGGTACCCAGTCGCGATGATAGAAAAGGGTATAGAAATAGCTGCATTGTGATACCAATTACACCTAGGATCGCCATGGCCATGCCGACGGAACTAGGAGGTAAACCAAGTCCACCTGTGAACCGAAAAGGTAGCTGCGGCTTAAAATCCGGGGGGTCTGGGTGTTTTGGGTTGTAAACAGGCGTTGAGAGAAAGATGAACCAGAGCGAGTTAAAGGTACCGACATGAAAAGCAAGGAAGAAGTGAGCAAGGAATGTAAAGGATACGTTTGATGTGAATATGCGACGGAAGGGAAGTACAGTCGTGTACCTACGCCTAGATGGCCTCTTCGAAGTCGTCGGCGCATTTTCAGACGAATCCCTCGGTGTAACGGGCGATAACTCCATGTCTGTACTTATGCTAGAATCCCGTGAGTGCAGACGCGTATATGCTATAGTTGTGCCGCGTTTCTTGAACAGTGACGTGAATAGTGATGTCAACTTCCTGCCTATGATAATTCCGAAGTCCCGCTCGTCTTGTAAGGCATCATGTGTCTGGTATATGTGAGATAGTAGTTCTAGCACGAAATCCGATGCACGGGGGTATATAACATACCTCTTCCAAAAACATCCAACACATTAATAAAGCGATGAACAGAAATCCCGTGCTAACAAGGTTTGGCATAGAATAGGGAAATTTGTGGAGGAACTCTATGTTGCCAAAGGTGTCAGGGTATGAACCTGCCGGATCAGATAGGAGGCCACCAAGAACTGGACCAATAATGACGCCGATATTAAATGTCATGGGCAATATTAGGAATGCTCGGGACTGATATCTGCAAATTTGTTAGGTCTGGCCTACTATATAGTTCGTGACTAAATTGCAGAACATACTTCTTTTCGCGAACAATTTCACTAATCCTATAGTTCCCAGTGTCAGTACTACTCCTAGAGCTATTATATCAAAGATATCGGAACCTACATAGTCCTCATCACTCCAACGTTGCCGTTAGTTGCGCCGCCTAGAGCTCTAAATAACAGAGCTTGGGAGAAAGACGTCGAGAATCCATATCCAAGACATGAAATGACTTCCTCTCACGTTAGCAAGTCCCTCCATCAAGCCTTCTCCAGAAGAAAAGGGGGAACATACGAGTTCCAAACAATCCTATCATGATAACCGTCTTCCGGCCGGCCCAAGTAGAATCGGCAACCCGGCCCCACATCATAGCAGTGAAGAACTGCGCGGCGGTGAAGCTCGCATGCAAAATACCGGCCTGGCTCGAGATGGTAGCGTCCGGTAGACTTGGGTCAAACCATCGTAGCTGGTAGAACATGTATGACTAGGTGCCTTATGTCAGCAGCTATAGGTCACTATGCGATATATCTTGGCGAGAGATATGATGGTAGATATAAAGGGATTGATACCATACCTGCAGAGACGTCTGGACTAATGGCTCACTGAGCCGGGCCAGTGTGATGACTACCAACTGCTTCTTCTTAGGTAGATCCCTCCAAGCCACCACTTTTTTAGAGTCACTGGGCCTCCGACTGGGTTTTTGGTATTTAGGAACCGCCGCGTTGGTGTCAATAGCTAGGGTGCCGGCACGGGATGCCACCAGTGGAGTCCCATCCTGCCCGCTCTCGTCCCGGATGCCGAGCCCGGGATCAACCGCAGCAGATTCTTCCTCGGAATGAAAGTCGAAGTCGCTCAGAGGACCCCGGTCTTCTTCTTCCTCGACGCCATCATATTTGCGATCGCTCATTGGCCGTCTCGCCGGCTTAACAGAGACAGATATCTAGCCTGGAGTCCGGGGTACGCTCACGTAAAGGAAGAGGGTCCTATCAAGTATTCACAGCTGACAAAATTTTAGATCCGGGGTTCAATTCTAATTAGACCAAACGAAACAATTAATAATTTGATACTTGAAAATCAATCGAACTGAAGGATGTCCGCTGGCTAGAAAACAAAATAGATTAGGCTATATCTTTCTCCGGTGTTACCAACAAAGAAAAAAAGAAGAAAAGATATCGCTGTCAGGTGCGCAGGCAAGGTAGGCTGATCTTCTAGGGCCGATCTAGCCGAAGTCTACCTCGCTGCCTCGCCGCCCCAACGTTGAGTGGTGGAAGGGTTCCGGCAGCGTTTAGTCGCAGAGGAATACAAGATTGAGATGGGTCCAATGAGAAACCAGCAGCGACACATCGATGAGACAATCAACGATACGTTGATGCCACACACTACTTACAGAATTGAGACATGATTCGCCAGTTTCCAGGATCCAGGATCCAGCGGGGTGGACTCAGCAACCATTCAAGCCAATCAGCTCGTCGCTTTAGGATCCCTTGCGAGACAAACCGGAGCTTAGTTCAACTCCTAACGAATATTTACAAAGAGAAAACTAATCTGAGAAATGATATCATACCCAGAAAAGATGCCGGCTAACTACATATGTGATATCCCCCCCTGATGGCCAGTTATATGCCCCTTGATGCTCTATATGCAGGTGTAGCGTGTAAATGAACCAGTCTTTCCCAAGTCTCATTCTCTATTTCATACACTGCTGAATGTTTCCACCACGGAATCTATACCGAGTTCTAGAAATCTATGTTCCAATTATCATCTCCGAGGAATCCAAACATAAACGGATTCCATGCTTGATTGTAAGGAGCCCACGGAGCCCAATTGCTGGAACCGCTGACTATCTGCGGCTCACCCGGGAGCCCAACCCCAGGTACTAGCGTCAGCTGAGCCGAGAACCAGCTCTTGATCCATTCAAGCTTGGTCGCATATTTATAGAAGCGATCGGTTTTTATATCATCAGCCGTATCCGGTGTGAAGTTTACCCCGAAAGTAGCCGCGGCCTCCGCAGCTCTCTGCCCCTCGAGGCTAATAATGTTCTTGAAAGTCGATATGACGCTCTCCATCGTCGCCGGGAAATCGAATGTTTTCCGTGCTTCGGCGAGGTCCCAGCCGTCTATCTCCACTAATAAAAGTCGCGAGGCTGCGACGAGGACAAACAGGATCTCGGAAAATGAGGTAAAAGACCGATATAGAAACCCCTCCGTGCCTATTGAGACTATAGTCACGAAGAATGATCGAGCTGCTTGTAGACAGTATAGCATACACTGTCGTTGGAGCTGTGCTGCTACTTCGTCTTGTGGTGGAGATAAGCTTGATGCTGGTAGATATAACCGGACGAGGACGTAGTTATGCATCGCCCAAAATAATACTAAGTAATCGTCAACGCCCAGTGACAGAGGTCAAATTTTGGGGAAGTCTTACCAAATTGTCTGTGTTCTCGGGCCATATTCGCAAAGAGCTGGTTAAGTTGGTTACGAATTGACTGCATATCCTCATTCATAGATATGGTAAATACTTTAGAACGATCCCCTTCGGATGGCATAGGTAACTTCTCCGATATCTGCTCGACGATCTGCTGGAATCTGACAATCTTATCAAGGATGAAGTCTGTGCCAAAGTCTGTAGGATTTCCTACCGAGTTGAGACAGCGATCTACATAGTCGCCTTTCAGCACGCCATCTCTCCCAAACTGCGACGCGTTTCTAGTCTTGTCAGCCCATATGTTGAATAGGGATCCAGGGCGCTTGGTTGCTTGCTCACACTGAAAGAAGGTATTTGCAGCCCAGAAAAGCTCGCTGTTCTTCAGGGGTATGTGACTCTTCCAAAACTGTCGTCATGCTATAGCCCATCAATGCTTCCTTCACATCTTTCTAATAACCCGAAAAATATTGTGTTAGCTTTGAAATCCCACCATTTTAGAAGTTTCAAACTTATTTCTTAAATTCAAAATAGTAGGGTTATCTTACTCACTACTACGCGTTAGCCGTTGTACGTAAAAGAAGTCCCAGGAGCTATCCGGGAAAGGGGGGGGTTGGAGATCACAATACGCAATCCGTCATACATACCCGGGTTTACTGCTACTGTCATTTTCTGTTGCATCGTGGGAGGCGGCCGCGTGATTGCAAGGTTATGGGCGTATCCCATTGCAAGATGAGTTAAGTAAGTTATCTTCTGGTCAAAGTAGAAATCGTGTTCCCCCCTACGCCGCAGGTTAGCGAATACATCATGAAGATATGTGAATATACCGACCAGGCTATAAAAACCAGCAGGCCTTGAAGAATACCTAGGTCTCGTTCCTCCATTACCAGCACGTGCTGGCCTACATAGGCGAGTATGCTTTTTCTAATCTCACTCTGCTTCGCGAGCGTAAGATGACTCGCTACCAACATGATAGCTCTAAATAATAGGGGCTTCTTGGCTAGGATTTCCTGTGCGGTAACATCGGGATCAAGAACGACAAAGGGGAAAAAGGGGGTAAACTTGATTTTGAAGTTAGATACTGCGTACTCAGCTTGATCCCAAGTTAACCCAAATCCTGGCTGTGGGATCTTCTTAGCAGGCAAAATTGGAAGTGGTTGTGATACTCTAGATGTGGGGCTATAGGGGTTTCCCAGAGTCCGTGTAGCTGTCCCATTGTATGGAGGGCTTTCCGTTACTGGGGGAGCAGGCGGGGGTGTTATGCTCTCAACAGATGAATCATGATCCGTCATCGTGAATGGGCCAGCTTTAAGTAAGATATGCCCATAGTTAGGAGGTCTCATAAAAGCATAGCTATCATTGCTGGGGTCCGCAGGCTCAGTACTACCACAATGCTACTTTAGTAAATATTGAGAGGCGAGCTATGTTCACTAATACCCGAATCCTCGCTGTGAATATAGAGTCGGGACTAGATTTAATAGAGACATACTTGGGAGGCTTAATTTGGCGAGGTCTCCTTAAGCTTTTAGAAGTCTGGGGAGCACAGATGATTTTCATTCGCCGGCACCTAATTTAGCAAGCAGTCAGATCTAGAATTATACGTGTAATAGGAGAGAGTTATGTAACCTATCACAACCATCCTCTACTTTATTCCCTTCAAAGTGGCAGCGAGCCTTCGCCTTTGTGCAAGGCGCACATGCACGCTGACGCCTTGGCGGACTCGCAGAACGTTCGGTAGTCTGCTGGCGATCGGATATGTTTGTCATATTCGCGTCTTAATTGGTCCCGGAGCAGCCCCGGACGCCGAGATTTAAACAAAGGAGATGAATGCCGTGCTGCCTGCTCTCTAGCAAACACTAACCCGGAACACTTGAAGTTGATGCACGAGCTTCTGCGCACTGTCCGTAGCGCTGAAGGCAGTATGATAAACCCGGATAACTTATTCCGGCGCTTGCCAGGTTTTAGGATGGTCAAGGGAAAGAGATAAGTAAGTGAGGTAAAAAAAAAGCTAGGTAGATTACTTTCAGATTCAGTATTTCCGTGTCTACGTGATAAGAAGTGGCTTAGCGGCGATACGTCGGGTTGTAATATTCTAATGATTAGAAGTAGATAAAAAGTAAATCTTATCCCGGTTTATCCCGGTTTGGTTTTCTGGGTCCAGAAGCTTAACCCGGTCCATGTCGGGTTATGAATTGCTCCATATACGGCGAAGGAGATCCATTATGCCAGACTGTTAAACCGCACTGACCAATGATATAAGGCAAAAACTATTAATATCCTTACCATAATCCTTACTCAATCATACTGATTAGACCAAGGTTGAAGAATAGTATTTGCGTGTTTGTTGTTTCAATCAATCAAGAGAATGGCTTCTCGAATGAATCCTTAACCTTGATAACTAATAACTTTGCTATCAAAGGTAGTTAGTTATTATAATTCAAAGCAACATAGTTAAGAGGTTTTGCTTGTAGGTGCGTTTAATCAAGCCAGCTAATGACATATATTGAAAAACTCCCCCTTTTTATCTATTTGTTGTAAAGTCTTACAAACGAGATACTTCTAGCAAGCTAATGCTGTGGCTTTCTTATATAATATCATTAACAGAGAATCATGTTGCTTAAACTACAATGTCAATAATATTCCTAATTAACCTAGAGGTATCAAATCCCTAGACTGCTGAGATTCCCAGAACAACAGGCTCTTAACTATTTTAATAATTTGGTTTCAACTAGGTTCGTGGTATTTCTAGCTCAACAGAATTGCGTTCTCGCTATTTGCTAGCATCTTTACGATGTTTAACAATTTAAAGGTTTTACTACGAATATAATCTGAGGCACTCTTCATTTTCCAACTTATGGCTGGAGTTCCTAATGTAATTAGTTATATAATCTACAAGTTTGTAAAACGTTGAACGTGATATTGCAATTATCATACGGAGGATCCCTCAGGACACTACACGATGCCTATATGGTGTCTAGGCGTAACGAATTAAGACACGCTAATTTCTTATCGTCTGGTCATTATATTATGGCACTGACTTCTTTACGCTACCTATAAAGTTTTATGAATCATGCAAGAAAGCCAACAACTTGATCCTTGGGTCAATTCGAATAGATCATAGGGGTGTTCTTAAGCAGGAACTAAAAGGTATCTACGTACGCATTAAATAAAACGAGAAGGTATAGCATTGTTAATATCAGTATCATAGAAAGATAAAAATACTCCTTGGGACAAAAGAGGACGCCGTAAACTTAAAGACATGCAATAGTTAAGCCTGTATGTTCTTAAACGTCGCTATGACTCTTGTTCTTATGTTTTCTTTGGGAATATATGCCACGAATAGCGCACGGAATCCTCACGAAACAACTTATAAGGACAGCTATTGTCAAAGAGCCTACAAAAGCTACCTTATGTAGGCGTGAGAGTAATAGCTCGGGCTTCTATATCTAGCTGTCCAGCTGTCTATCTCCTAAGTAGTATTAGTACATCACCCATCACAGTTCGTGTCACGCTGTCGATAGACCCAATAGTATATCTAAACGACCTCCTTTCTGAAAGGGGGAGTTCCAACTAATACTCACGAAGAATACAAGCTGATGCTTTCGTTCGTGTCTTCAGCTCTCCATGTAACAGCCAACCCCTAGTCCCCGTCCCTGTGGATGATCCCCCACCGTCGTGGCATCTTGACCCACGTAGTCGTCCTCAACACCCTTGTATTACGAATATTCTATGCGTACCTGATAATCGCGATGCGTCTACCTAGCGTTGCGTATACACAACGTTGCGTTTAGCCAGTGCTGCACTTTATTTATTTCTTCCTATTCTGGTACCTACAATCTTCAGGTAACCAGCCCTTACCCTTTCTGCACACCACATTCATTGCCACCTTTTTTCTTTTTTAATTCCACACTTTACCCATCGTGAAGTGTGCTACCAATACCAATAGAGCACATAGTCAACCATCAACACCTTCATCAATACTTTTTCAACTATCAATATTCTTCCTTCGTTTATGTTCTCTTGTTTTTTTTTCCTATCCTCGTTTCCATTTTTGTTTCTATTCCTACTTAATTCAAGGGTTTCTACTTATTCACAATGACGGGGGCAGGTTCTGTATCCTCGTCTTGTGAGGGACCCTTCCATCTTGAGAAGTATCTACCAGCCTGTGAAGCAGCCAAGGCTCAGGAGATAGAGCAAATTAAGGAATCTCTGCCACCTTGCGCCTCGAAACCTCCTCAAAACGAAGACACCACTCACATTCAGTCTACCCTAACTAAGACGCCATCTCAGAAGCATTTCCTCAGCACCAGCGTTGCAGCACTTGGAAGAAGCAAGGATAAAAGCAGCCATGAGGAGCAGACCGAACTTGGCATCCCGTCGTCCTCATCTCAGGGACGTGGCTACAGGAGACTTTCACAAAATTTGGTAGCCAAATTCAAGGGCCTATTCAATGATGACGAAGTGATGCCTCTCACTAAAGAGAAGATGCGACCGCTGACAGAGAATCCGACTAGCTCCCCCCAGTCTCTAAAGCTACATGAGCCGGTACAGCAATCAAAGGTCGACCTCTCGCGTACTTCTTCATTGAGGAACCTTATCTACGATTTCGATCGATACGGAATGTTGAGAGAAGGTAACGCAACTCAAGTTGACGCATCTAATTCTAATGACCGAAACAACCTAAAGACGGATAAGGGGTTCTTATCGAGTCGGGCTACGATGGACATTATCATAGGACGACACAATACACACAGAGACAGGGAGTTTAACCAAGGGGGCATGCGCAGGATGAACGATCTTGAAAGAGCCCACAACACTCCCAATCTCCTTCAACTTAACAGTCAGGCGGTTGAAGCTGGTTACGAAGACATCTCTGACCGTATGGAATATGATCCAGAGTGGGGAGGATGCATCGGACGCTGGTTAGATGGCATAGCATCAGAACGTCACTTGACACATCAACAGAGTGAATCGTGCCACTCTTCTCTAGTTGGCGATGGGCTAGAATTTAAGGATTTCGACGGTGTTTTCCTATCGTCCGATAATACATCATCTAAACGCGAGTCAATCGATTCTAAGGGATTTACTCAACTCACTATCGAAGACGGCGCAGATGCAGCAGATGCAGCAGATGCAGCAGATGCAACATATCTTCTGTCTAGCCCCACCAACCCTCGTACCTCAGTTAGCACTCGCGCAGATTCTTGGGACTTTGACGAGAATAATTGGTTCCCTGTAGTCATTCCTCAGGAACCGGTTTTTACTCCCCAATCTCAGTCAGAACGATCTAGTTTTTCGTTCCAACAAGACATCGAGCACTGCAATAGAGGCATTTCAGAACCTGGACAAACCGTCGAACAAGCAAATCCCACACATTCGACATCTCTTTCCGACTGGTCGTGCCCCTATTGCGGCTTCTTGAACCTCCCGAGACGAACAGCCTGCATGCAGTGCTGGGAAGAACGTGCAGAACCGCTAGACAACACAAATCATCGCAACCGCCGAGTGACTTTCGCAGAGCCCACGAAATTCGAGGGCAAACACGCTTCAGCCATGAAGGGATACAATGCATCATTGGTTGATGCATCGCTCGTTCCAGAGCCGCTCAATATCAAATCTTGCCTCAAGACAAAGGCTCATCGAGAGTACAAACCCGCCGACAAGAGTACCCAGACTGAGGTTCAGGGCTCTGATGAGCCGGCTTCTCATCAGAACCAGCAGACCAATGCCACCAAAGCTACTACTACGTCTAACGAGGCCGAGCAGACTGCCAACGATATCTTTGAGGAAAGACTGAAGAGAATGGAAGCTATCGTGAACGAGACCAAGGAGAACAACGAGAGCATGCGTCGCATGCTAAAGTCGATGGAGGAAATATGGCAACGGATTTCCGAGGAGCGTAACGCTAAAAACTAAGACATCAGTCGCACAGGAAGCAAGCTACGCCCATATTCACGAATCTGCGAGATGGGCCGGATCACATTTGCGTATGCGTTACATGACTTTGAGGTTGAGAGCTGGAGGATAAGTAGGAGATGATAGGAGACGAGTAGCAAACCACACGGCATAGCAGTAAATGCCGGGAGAAGCCAGTATATGGCGAGATAGCTGGAGCTAACATTGCATAAAAGGGATTCTTCACCCTTTCACACTTGCCTTTCTTGAACATCTAGTTCAATTTGTCTGATCTTGTACAATAGCACGCACGATTGAAAAAAACAACCGAAAACCAAGATTAAGGGGGGAGAGGTCATTAATGTACGTATGTACTTAGATAAGGCCGATAAGAACAAACAATGCACAGACCACTTTGAATTCATTCTAGTGTATGTACCTATGTATAATTCAGGCACGGCCACCCACATGCAGTGAACGATCACCATTGCCAGCTGGCAGCTTTCGGCCACACTAACTTTACCTTAACCTAGAACCTTAGAAGCAACCGCCTATCCTTAAATCGCTGTCATTAAATCGCCGAACCTTAGATTATCAAGTAAACGAATTCGAGTAGAACCAGCAAGAAATCGCCCAATATGGATCCTTACTCGGCAGAAGGCGAGTTAATAAATATTCACAATCATTTCCACCAGGGCCAATACCAAGAAGTCATCGACTTTGACACGTCTGCTCTCTCCTCCGAAAATGCACTACCTGCCCGAGTCCTCGCCCTCCGAGCTCGCATTGCTCTGGGACAAGCAGAAGAAGCAATCGCCGACGTTGAAGGAGAATCGGAGCCTGCGCTAGCAGCAGTGCGCGCCTTAGCCGAGTACAGCCTGGGGAAGACGGATGCGGCCGTTCAAACTATCGAGGAGCTTGCCTCGTCAGCTAGCGATAACCAGACGGTAGAAGTTCTTGGAGGAACGGTCTTGCAAGCTGCTGGCAAATCAGAGGAGGCTCTCGCGCTCTTGTCACAACACTCTGGCAGCCGTATGTTTACTACTCGACAAGCAATGACTATCCGGTCTAGATACTAATAAAGACTTGTCTAGTTGATGCTGTCGCCTTGATTACACAAATCCATCTCCAACAAAACAGGACCGATTTAGCCCTTAAAGAGGTAGCTGCGGCTAGGCGGTGGGCGCAAGATAGTCTACTTGTCAACTTAGCAGAGTCATGGGTTGGCCTCCGATTGGTATGTACTGGATTGAATTGGCCCCTACAACGGCAGAGCTAACGAATGACTTTGTGCTTAGGGAGGAGATAAGTACCAGCAGGCATTTTACGTATTCGAAGAACTCGCACAAGCTCCCTCTACATCCTCGATCGTCTCCCTCGTCTCACAGGCAGTATGCGAGTTACATCTAGGCCGCGTTGAAGAAGCACAAAGTGCTCTCGAGCAAGCCGTGCAGAAGCAACCTGAATACGCTGAAGCCATTGCCAATTTATTGGTTTTGTCGATCATCACCGGCAAGGATGCTTCCGCTGTTTCTGAGCTTACAAGGTATACTTTTTCCAAACTAGCCTGGAAACTCCACGTATGCTAACACAATTTATCTATAGTTCCTTAAAGAAAGCCGCCCCTGAACACACATTCCTAGTCGATCTCGAAGAAAAGAGCGAATCGTTTGACAAGGCGGCCGCTAAGTTTAGTGCAAAGGCGTCAGCTTAAAATAGGAAGGGCGGCTAATATGGGACTTGTCGAATGTTGATATACTAGTAGACCTTGGAGACGAGGTATAAAGAAAAGGCGAAAATGCTTTGGTTACGATACTCTATGAACATGATGAATACCTCATATTGCGTCGTCCTAATATTGGTTACGTGTCGTGGCCACTCCTAATTGCGGGTTTAGAGAGGCACAAGTGATATTCAGCTCAGTCTATGATACATCGATCTCAATAATTATAATTAATCTGGCGATGTTTGGAGATCTTTCCAGATGAGATACTCCGATGTCCACATTTATTGAGAGTAACATAACACAAAGCTATTAGACTGTTTTTGTCACTAAAATCTAGGGTATTACAAAAGAGCAAATATCAGAAACCAACTCAATTTATGTGACATCATCTGTGTTCTGGAGCCGTGGTTTATAAATCATAACGCTTACATCCCAAGAATTTGAGATTATTTAAATGCACGATGACGCTTCTCAGACTATAATATGTGAATGTGCCTTAAAAATGGCATTGCAGAAGATAGGTAGATAACTGCATATAACTGATGCACAAAAGAAAAGGGGGGTAGTCGACCTAAGTTGACACGGTTACTGGGTGACAATATGTAGAAAAGGACGCTAATACAGAATAATACGATAATTATACGGCCCGTAGGGACAAAACACAATACCCCTCATTCACGATGGCGTCCTCGATCTATTGACCGCTCGTGAGATAGATTAATGCTAAGAGCCTCTGGCGATCTCATCATGCCTCAAACTAACCTCGTTTTGGTATAAAACTTCCGCTATCGCTGCGGCGCTAGTGGTCCATCAATCAACATGCTGGAATTATCGTGGGATTCATCCCAAATGCCGCCTATGACGTCACTACATCACTCGGCCCTTCTACAAACGGATTCTTAAAGCCTATTGCTACTAACACATGCTATTTACAGCCAAAACGCAATCGAACATCGTGACTCGTCGGAGCCAAATTTGTTCTAAAAAGCCTGCAAGCTAATGCCATCTACGTATGTGTGAGTGGGTTGTTTATCAAAGTAGCGCTAAAAGAGGCATTGCACTACATAGCACATACATACAAGCCCTTGAGAAGAAGAGATAACACTTACCATTTATGTAAAAGCTTCAGAAGACCATCTGGCAAATAAAAGTTGTGGAAATGCTTTAGGTTAATTGATAAGACATCTTTAGGTACCTAACCTATGTAGTTTAAGTGAAGATCATTCTCTCTTTTGGTAGACTTGCCACCGGTTTCGAAGAGGAATCTAGATTTCGGGAGATGGACATGGAGGCTGATCCGGGACCGCAAAGAACGGGTCTCGACCAATATGTTGTGTATGTAGATAATAGATAATCTTTACAAGGCCGACAAATCAGGCGGGTATGTAGGCCGCGTCGGACGCTTGGCCAGCCCGCCCAGCCCCGTCCACGTCCACGATCTTACAGATTTCTGCACGCCCCTGGTCTATAAACCTGGCTAAGAAATTTTGGATATGCCCGAGTGGACCGGGTGGCGCACAAAATAGGTAACACTGGCTATCTTAGACTATGTCAACGTGCATGCCGATAGGACGATGCCTTCGTTCTCTGCCGAACTGGACCTGTATTCCAAATCAGCACTTGCATGAATCCCCTGTAAGAAATTACAGGTAGGCTTGCATAGTAGGTCGCCGGGTTTGATATGACGATGGCTTCGTTGGACTAAGCCCTCCTGTCTAGTCTCGTCATCGTGAAGGATCCTCTCGTCCCGCCAAAAGTTGTGGGCTAGGCGCTTTCTCTACGATGGCGCACTTTTATATAAATTTGTTGTCTCGTCGTATTTCATGACAAGTTCTTCATTACAAGACAAGACATAGAAACATATCCACCAAGCAATTCACTGTTAACTACTACATTTGTTTCCGTAGTATAGACTCCGGTTTGCATTTCTCTTAGACCATTTAGACTTGAGATCATATACACACATATATATATATCAACATCCAAGATGCCTATCGCACTTACACCACCTCCGGTTCCTCAGGCCAAAACCCTCGGAGATGCCAAGGCTCAATCCACAGACAAGAGAAAGATTATCTGCTTTTCAGGTATGGCACCACGTTTAAACATCGCATTTTGGATTCGAGTCGTTGACTAACATAATAACACCAGACTTTGATGGCACAATCTTTATGCAAGACACCGGACACGTTCTCTTCGATAACCACGGCTGCGGCTCCACGCGAAGAGAGGTGCTAGACGAGCAAATCAAGACCGGCGAGCGATCCTTCCGGGACGTCTCAGAAGAAATGTGGGGATCTCTAAACGTGCCCTTCGAAGACGGCTTCCAAGTCATGGAGAAGTCCCTCGAGATCGACCCGGACTTCCGGAGCTTCCACCAATACTGCCTCAAGAACAACATCCCCTTCAACGTCATCTCCGCCGGCCTCAAGCCCATCTTAAGAAGAGTCCTGGACACGTTCCTGGGAGAAGAGGCCTCGTCGCACATCGACATCGTGGCCAACGAGGCGCACATCTCGGCCGACGGCTCCGAGTGGAAGCCCATCTGGCGCCACGACACAGAGCTCGGCCACGACAAGGCGCAGTCCATCACGGAGGCCCGCAAGGAGGCGGAGACGGCGTGCGACGACGGCACGGTGCCGCTTATCGTGTTCATCGGCGACGGGGTGTCTGATCTGCCGGCGGCGCGGGAGGCGGACGTGCTGTTCGCGCGGCGCGGGCTGCGGCTCGAGGAGTACTGCCAGGAGCACAGCATCCCGTACATCCCCTTCGACACGTTCGCGGACATCCAGCGCGAGATCGAGCGCATCCGGCTCGAGGACGAGAAGAAGACGGGCGGCAAGGGCGTGCCGGTGCGCTTCAACCCCCGCGCTAACCTCTGGCGCAGGGTCTCCAGCAAGAACGCCGTGCCCAGATACGTCGTCATGTCCCCGACTAAGGAGGACAAGATGTTCCTCTGGCCCGAGGCCTTCTCCGAGCTCAAGAAGCCAGAGGTCGAAGTCACCGAGACGTCTATGCCGACGGTCCAGGAGCATGCTCTGCAGCATTCGGTGCGGAGCGCTGCTTAGTTGGGGGGATGGCATATATCATCGTTGGATGTCTTTCTTGGAAGAAGACTATAACTATTGCATATCACGGCGTTCACGTTGGGTTGCTTTTATTTGTTTGGCATGGTTCAGCGATGTGGAGTTACACGATACCGCCTTGCGATAGCACGAGGAAAGGATAGGCGTTTGGGTTAGAACATACATAACATAGCATGGTGAAGCTTGCGGGATACATTTAGATTATCTATCTTAGTTAAAGAGGGTTTTTTTTCTTTCTTATAATAGACGATATTATTATCAGGGAAACTTGAACTGCGGTATTACATAGTGTTTGTTTATTTGTTTGTTTGTTTGTTTGTCGACACAATTAACTGGTATCAGAATACTGATCGCATAGGAGTGGAGGCATGTATGTTGTCTTTACATATTGCATTGCTACCCACCCCTACATCGCATCATGATACACCTACGGGTTGATTTCCTGGTTACGACGTGTGTCATACAAGTCCTAGACACAAATGGCATTACCCAATTAGTGAGATCGAGCCAATAGGAAGCGCAGGAGTAGCTGCTCTGCCCCCAACCTACGACAGCATTCTTTAAACAATCACCGATCAGCTCATTTGACGTCCGCCTAGATTTGATCCTACCTCACGCCAACCCGAGTTAAGCTAAAGATCGGAAAATCGGAACAAAGAGCAGGGGAAAGGTCAGAGAGCTGGAGCATAGCTAATGATGCGCATTCCGAGTTCCGTCATGGTTAAGTTGATGCGTCCTATTGCTGCCTTTTTCTTATTCATGGATATTACATATAGAAGGAGAGCGACGCTATGGTAACAGGAAGGTCAGCGGATCTCACGGCAAATGTTTACGTAGTACTTCACTCTAGTTGCGGTAGACGCGGCATCCTTAATAACAGCCATTACTAGTCGTGCCTCTAGAGCTCTCAGAGTAGCCGGTAATTGTGTATCTTTAGAAATCAAGCCGGGCCTCACTTTACCTCCCCCTACGAAGGCCTTCATCCGGTCCAGTATGCGGAAGGTACCTAGACAGGTAGGCTATACACAGCTACGTGCCGTTGCATTTTCGTCAGTTGGGATCTTCTGGAACGCGGGATCATCGATCGCCGCCGTCCTGCAGCTAAAGAGCTAAAGAGGCACAGCCCTATTGCCAATTCGAGGTACATACAACGGCTGATGACCTCGCGCCTCGAGCTTGTTATTAGTGTAGGTACATCGTTGTTGTGCGTAGGTATGATCTAATATTCGAATATTAGTATCGGTATCGAGTCTTTGTCTAATATTAGCACGGGGTTGACCAACGCCCATCTTCGGATAAAATGCGATAAGTTTTGTTGTTGTACAATACAATACACATCTCCAAAATCCCCCCGGCTCTAAAAGAAGCTTTTCTAGCATGGGGTTGTTCATGCTTATTACCTAGGTTCTAAACCAGATCGAGATGAGTTTCAGTTTTATGATTAACTTCATGTACCTGGTAACTAGACTAGATCCAGCAATTGTAGGTTTATTTTTCTTATTTTATCTAACTACATGTAATTAACAAATAACTAACAAATCTATTTTTATTGTATAGCCACTTTCCGTTCACATTTAGTTCAATATGTATTTCTGCCCCATTATGTACCTATCCTACGGATCCGTACGCGCAAGTAATTCATCGAGATTTAAGTCAACGGGCCTTAAACGTGGGTGCTGTTTCTTGCGTAGGTATTTCATTTAAGGTAGTTAGTGGATCGAGTTCTAGGTATATTAGGTGGCTACATGTACCTATGGTGGCAGTGGAGGCGGGGTGATTGCGAGCGTCAACGGGCTGGACCTCCTGCCCTCAAAGCTCGAAGGTGCCTGGAACAATAGAATTTCGGATGCTTCTCGTACCACACAAACTCGCGACGCGATTGGATTGGATACCAAAATTAAACTACTGCCCCTCCAAAAGAAAACTTGGCAATCAGCTTCAAAAAAACATGTTGAGAATCCATAACAGCTTCTTCTATCCTAGCTTGTTTATTTTTCTTTTTTTAGTCTTAAATATCCAATACATATCATAAAGCCTTACCTTACCTTTACTCATAAACCTTGTGGCATTCGTCTATCAAAGCAAACCAAGTAGGTAATTCCAAACTCAAAAGTGGTAATCTACCAATCTACCAATCTACCACTAACTTACCTAGAGCACCTAGTTCGTCTTGTCCTTAGCTTATCTTACAGCCAACCGCTACATAGTACATACCTAGGCTCTAGCAGCCCTCTTTGACATCATATCGAAACACTAGCGCGTTGAGTCCAGGGCATCACAAGCCCCCAAATGCTGAAGGGGGACCGACCTACTCAACTACCAAGCACCTGGGCACTTCCTGGGCACTTCCAAGACGGGTTCCAGCACAACGTCACCCGCGTTTGCCCCCTTCTTGTTTCTTGGAAATACAACCTTCCATGCTTTATACCTCTACCCTCTTTAGTCCGACTCTCCTGAAAGTCCTCCACCATGGTTCGCATTATCCCTCAACGATTGAAAACCTACACTACTTGTTCTACCAACAATTCCACCGCCAATAGCCGTAGTACGAGTCCTATGCCGTTAAAACTCGATGCCGGTGTTGCGGAGGGACGTAAGGACACGGGTTTGGTCTTAAAGATTATTATACTTCGAGTAAGGACAATGAATCGATAGATAATATCAATTCTAGTCTCGACTACGGATTCTAACCTGCGATGATATAGGCGAGAAATTTAGCTGCTAAAGATCGTGGAGGAACATCCGACCCCGTATGCCAATACCCGTCTTCCTGTTCTCAACTCTAAGAAAAGTAATCCGCGGACATTGCTAATAGTCCGCACTCACTAGTATCTCCAACTGACCTGCGGCGAAACTAAATGTCTTACACATCATATCCCGAAAACGCTGAATCCCGAGTGGAACGTTGTCTGTACTGTACCCATCACTGGCGTAGAGAACCTACTGCTTGATTGCATCTGCTGGGATAAGGATCGCTTTGGCAAAGACTATCTAGGCGAATTCGATCTAGCCCTCGAGGAGATATTCTCCAACGAAAAGACCGAGCAAGAAGCAAAATGGTATCCCCTTAAGAGCAAGAAGCCAGGCAAGAAAAGGAATAATGTCTCCGGAGAGGTTTTGTTACAGTGCACTTTATTCGACTCGACAGACAAGAATGCGACAGATGCTCAGATCTTAGAAAAGCTGCACTCACTTGCTACCGCCTTACCCGAAGCTGCATCCCGCAATGCCACCCCTAACATGACACCCATGCTTGGCCCAACCTCGGCATCCAAGTTTGGCTCATCCCCGTCTCCCCAGTTAAGCCAGAATACCACCGATGGATCCCAGGACGACGACGACGATGACGAGATTCTGGATGATGATGAAACTCCCGAGGATGAAGACCCGAGTAAGCCCGACGCTGTGGAGAAGAGGAAGAGACGGCTTAGGATTAAGGGTTTAAAGCGTAAGAGGAGACAGAATCCTTACGAATTCGTCAACGGCGGTAGTGATGTAGTCGGCTTAATCTTCCTCGAGATTTGCAACATTACCGACCTTCCTCCCGAATCAAACTTCACGAAAACTAGCTTCGATATGGATCCCTTCGTTGTTGCATCTTTAGGCAAAAAAACTTATCGTACGCGAGTGGTTCGGCATAATCTGAATCCCGTGTTTAATGAGAAGATGCTCTTTCACGTGCTGAACCACGAACAATCATACTCGTTTGCTTTCACGGTTATCGATCGCGACAAATATTCCGGGAATGACTTCATTGCCTCGACCTCCTTTCCCTTACAGGAACTCATCGAAAAGAGCCCTAAAGCCAATCCCGAAACTGGATTGTATGACTTGAAGGAACCAGCCGAGTACGTCCCGGTCCAGAAATCAAGGCTCGCGAGACTCGGCCTCTCGAGGTCGTCTTCAACACAGAGCTTGGGCAAAAGTAGGCCGGTGTTGCCCAAGAACCCCAGTATGACTTCGGCAACATCCCAGGAACAGGTCGAGCCAAAGGCAGCACCTACATCCATTCCAAACCCCGGATTACTTCAACCAGAGCAAGTGCCGAACCTCAATAGCGGAAACGGAAATGGAAACGGCGAGGGCAGTGAGTTTGACGACACTGATTTCAATGTCTTCACAATCCCCTTGAAGATGAAAAATCTAGAAAAGTGGGAGGCTAAGCACAGCCCGACGCTGAACATCCGCGCCAAGTATATGCCGTATCCTGCTTTAAGACAACAGTTCTGGCGGGCTATGTTGCGACAGTACGACGCAGATGAAAGTGGCGAGATTAGCAAAGTCGAATTGACTACTATGCTCGACACGCTTGGCTCGACTCTGCGAGAATCAACCATCGACAGGTTTTTCCAACGATTCCCTCATAAGGCAGGGAACGGGGAACAAGAACTCACGATGGACGAGGCTGTCATATGTTTGGAAGATCAACTAGATGCCAAGAGCAAATCGGCTCCGGTGACTGACAAGTTGAAGAACATGTTACCCGACGCAGAAAAGGTGAAGAATTTTCTAAACCCATCAAGCCACACTGGCAGTGCTACGCCTTCGGAGGAGGGGTCTTTTATTCTCAGTGCAGAAGACTCGACCGCTCAAGGCATTACACCTGGAACATCAACTATTGTTGTCCCTGATCTCAGTACATCTGGAGAAGAGGGCGATGCGCTGGATAAAGATGATCTAAATATTGACCGTGGCGAGGAACATGTAGTCGAAATTCGAGAGTGTCCAATCTGCCACCAGCCTCGTCTCAACAAGCGGAAAGATGCTGATATCATTACCCACATTGCTACATGCGCCAGCCAGGACTGGCGCCAGGTCAATTCACTGATGATGGGCGGGTTTGTCACGGCAAGCCAAGCGCAAAGAAAGTGGTATTCTAAAGTCATCACCAAGATTTCTTATGGTGGTTATAAACTTGGCGCCAACTCAGCAAACATCCTGGTACAGGACCGCCTAACTGGACAGATTAACGAGGAAAAGATGAGCGTTTATGTACGACTGGGGATCCGATTACTCTATAAGGGATTGAAGTCCAAGGATATGGAGAACAAGCGAAGTGAGTGCTCATGCTGATATAACATAGAAACTGTCGCTAATAACGCTCTAGTCCGTAAACTTCTAAAGAGTCTAAGTATCAAGCAAGGCAAAAAATACGACGACCCTGCTTCGAAGGCCCAGATTCCAGGTTTCGTCCAATTCCACCAATTAGACATGTCCGAGGTCTTACTCCCCGTTGAGGAATTTAAGAACTTCAATGAATTCTTTTATCGCGCACTCAAGCCAAACGCCCGGCCTTGCTCAGCTCCAGACAATCCTCACATTATTGTGTCGCCGGCCGACTGTCGATCTGTTGTCTTCAATAGTATCGATTCTGCGACCAACATCTGGATCAAGGGTCGCGAATTCTCCATAAAGCGACTACTCGGTGACGCGTACCCGGAAGACGCTAAGCGCTATGAGAATGGTGCATTGGGTATCTTCCGTCTAGCTCCCCAAGACTACCACCGGTTTCACATTCCTGTGGATGGAATTCTCCGCAAACCTAAACTCATCGCTGGCGAGTACTATACCGTCAACCCTATGGCAATCCGGTCCGCGCTCGATGTATACGGCGAGAATGTTCGTGTCATTTGTCCTATCGACACTGAACTATTTGGACGGGTTATGGTTATCTGCGTCGGTGCCATGATGGTTGGCAGCACAGTAATTACCCGAAAGGATAGGGAAGAAGTGAAACGAGCTGAGGAGCTTGGGTATTTCAAGTTTGGTGGCAGCACAATTGTGACACTATTTGAACCCGGCACGATGATGTTCGATGACGACCTTGTGGACAACTCAAACAGCGCCCTGGAAACACTGGTATGATACTTACCCCTCTTAAGCAATGCAAGACTAAATATTGACATACATGCAGATTCGAGCCGGCATGTCGGTTGGGCATTCCCCACAGGTACCTCAGTTTACACCAGACATGCCCAAGGATGAGAAAGACGTTACGGAGGCGGAGAGGGCGGAAGCCCATCGCCGTATCCGTGGTGGTGGTGACAGCCCAGATGAAGTACCTTTACCATAGGAAAACACTCCGTGACAGCTAAGACGGGAAAGGCATTGCATACAGGCGGCGTTATACCATATAAGCGACGGCTTTTTCCGAAGATTGAATTCCATTGGGTGGATAGACGAGACATTGAGCATGGGATCGGGGGAACTTGCAGCATCTGTCTATCAGAAAAGTGGGCATATAGCAACGAAGAGGGGAAAAGGGGTTTGAAAAGCGAGGGGCAATGCAGTTGCTAGCGTTCGTCACACGTTTAGCTAGGGGAGTAAGCGCAAGCAGACAGTATTATTGTACATGCAGTCAGATACGGCTATGTAGTTATAGCTAGTGTTACGGGGTGATGGTTCGATATCTGACAGGAGGATAACCACAGCCCCGTCGTTGTCCTATTCATAGGCTTCAACGCTTAACGTCAACAGTGGCTTATAAGTCAAGGCGTATATCACGATACGATGTTTTTACCGAGTACGATACAAGGTGTCCTCTTGGAATGGGTATCGTCAACCCTAGTTTGGATATAAGAGGGGGTTCGTAACTAATTAGGTAAATAGTTAAGACGAATAAGACGAATGGGTACGAATAACACACCGATATTTCCATTTTTGTAGATGCGGTCAAGAAGTCGGTATGCAATGAAAAGCTTCCACGTGCATAGAAGGCGGGATGGATTGCGGGGCGGGAATTGGGATGAAAGATGTTATTTGCTGTTAGTTGCGATAATTTGGTTCCACGAGACATAACCCCTGTCGGTACGGAGGTAGGTACCTGCGTGCCGGGTAACGGTCATGTACGGTACCTAAAAGTATCTAACGGCTAACAGGGTAGGTTACAGGGTAGGTTAGCCTGTTAGCCCGTTAGCCTGTTAGAACTTAGGTCACTTAAAGTTTTGTTTACTTTGGACCCCGCATAGCAACAAGATGCCATTTTCAAAGAAAAACATTGCAAACTTAAGGAATGCCGCGGTATTAACAAATAAACCCACAGAGGTAGACCCTTAGAGCTATTTTGTACACTAGCTGGGCTCCAGTCGCGAGTGGCCCAGCTTTTACGTCTACCACAAGATTTCTTTTCTTTGCGACTTCTGCTTCAATTGTGTAAAAGGGGGAAATAGGTGAACGGGAGTATTGATTGATTGATTGATTGATTGAAATTGTCAAATTTATACAAACATAAAAATATCAATCTGCAACAACCCGCATACTACCAATGAAGACAACTCCGAAAACGAATACCGCATCTTTCGTGGCTTACTCCTGTTCTTAGTCCGATACTGGACGGCAACAGCAGATCCTGAACGGGATCAGATCAAAGGGGGAGAAAGAATTAAGAAGGAGGGAAAAAAGAGACAGGAACAAGACAAGATGGTCGACCCAGATAACCTCCGCACGGCATCGCTGTATATCAATAATCAGCTCCTATCACGCGGCCTTCTTCGTGATGGCCACAATATCAACTTTGCAGATCCGGAGTTCGGTGATGGAGGAGTGCAAGGCACGATGAGCAAGGTCATGAGCGTTATCAATGACCTCATCCTAAGGCGCGACGTATGTATATCCTCTCTCATACTCTACTATGACTACCCAATCAGGGGCAAGTCTATGGACATTATATTGTCCTGGTCTTCAATGACAACAAAGAGATAGACAATATGCTAATATGTTTTCTATACGATAGCGCGATGCTGAGAGCCGAGAGTCGTTATCTACAGCCCTTCGGACACTACGGGCTGATTCGCAGCGGCAAACGACCGAACTCGCACGACAAACGGAAAAACTATCCGACGCTCAACGAAGGCTTGATTCTGCAGAAGCTACAGAGCGTGCCCTCCGTACCCAGCTCAAGATTACGGATCAGAACATCCACCGCCTTAAAGACGAAGCCATCAAGATGAAGACTATCGTGGCACAGGCGCGCGCTGCATGTGCTAATGAAATCCGTAAACGAGACCGCCAGATCGACGGCCTGAAGAAGGCCGTGGCAGATGCTGGTAGAGTAAGAGGCGGCGGCAAGAGCAGGGATGTCCTATACATCACCGTGGTAGGGGAAGTCGGCGGCGAGGAGCGTGGAGTGCCTGCTGGTGCAACAGAGGCTGAAGGTTACAGCTTACGCTTAGAGACAAACGAATTCCTCACACAACTAGCAAGAGGTCTTAGCGAGGAAAACGAAGGGCTACTCGCCCTGGTTAGACGTGTAGTCGACAGGCTGCGCGAGATGAGTGGGCTAGAACGTGGTTCGGAGAATCTGAATGGAACCGCATTTGACTATCGCTCAGACAATAATAACGCGGATGTACTGGTAATGGCATCTCAAAAGAGCGCCGATGAGCTCGCATCAGAGTTGGAAGAGATCATGGAGCATCTCAGGACGATATTAACGAATCCTTCCTTCGTGCCGATCGAAGAGGTTGAGATACGCGAGGAGGCTATCACTCGCCTACGCGCCGGTCTAGAAACAATGGAGTCCCGCTGGAAGGACGCAGTCCATATGATTGACGGTTGGCGGAAACGAATGGTGTCAAGCGGCAAGTCAGTCGACATGGAAGACCTGCAGATGAGCCTCCGACTTAGTCCCGTTAGGGTCAGGGACGTCGAGGAGACAGCAGATATCGTACCTCTGAGACTCTCCTGTGTCCAGGAGGAGGAAGGAGAAGAGGAAGAAGAACAAGAACAAGAACAAGAAGAGGAAGAGGAAGAGTATGGTGAAGAAGACAGTCTCGAAGCACAGGAAGAAATTCAAGAGGACCCACGGCAGTTAAGGTCTCCAAGCCCGATCGAGTCGCTACATCTAATCCCGACACAAGGATGCCGAGTCGCAGAGAATGAAGAAAACGATTCCGACTCGGGTTCTAGCAGCATCTTCCAGGATGATATAGACATAGACGAGCTGGACGCCGAGGAACCAAACGTCCAAGTCCTTCAGGAATCTACATATGCGAACTCGATGGATTCGCCTCCTCTCCCTATGCCACCCCAACTAAGCCCACTCAAGGACTCATATTCGGCAGGCAATAAAGGGTACTCCGAACGTGATTTTGCGTATCGCAAGCATGCAGATTTCACGACCATTATAGAAGAAAACACATGGGAATTGGCAGAGGAGGAGGAGGAAGAGGAAGAGCAAGGGCCGCCTCCGCCACCACATGCCACCAAACCCCAGTCTCCTAGGTCTCCCAAGTCTCCGCATCAGCAGAAGAAGTCAGTATCATACAAAAACTCCCCGCCATGGCAAGACCAATCTCGACCTAGCTCAACCGCCTCATATGAGAGTCCCCTGTTCGGTAAATCCGGAGAGAGACCGTCACAGTCTGATCCTTCCCGCAAACTATTTTCGAAGCCCACCCCGAATCTAGGGAAGCAATTATACACCAAATCTCAGCCAGAGCCGGGTGGCGCAAACTTTCAGGCTTCTAATAAGTCATCGAAGAGGCCAACTTCATCGCCAGACCCATTAGCAGCAGATATAAAACGAACCAACTCGGATCCTATCAACCCGCCGTCGCGTCAGCAGCCCTCGTCGAAATCTATTCGTCAAGTACCTGCTACGACACAGTCGCAACCCTTATCCTCATCTTCTTCCGCCTCTTCCTTGAAATCTGCGGCCAACATAACGGAACGACCGCAACAACCCACTGTTGCACGCCCACGCTCGCCAGTTCGTAGTAACCAAGCTACCAATACTACTACGAATACGTCCTCACGCCTTCCTCGACCTAATAGCACCAATCCGCCTGCGCAACAGAGCCCCCTAACTATGGCCACCATCGCCGCGAAGCTAGCGGCCTCAGAACGCGAAGCCGATGCTGCTCGTGTTAGGGCTAAGCTGAGGGCCGTCCGGTCTGGAGGTCAGAGACGGAACCCGGCTCTCCGGGCTCCTGCTACAGTCGCTCCCGGGTCGCCTCCCCGGGAAACAAAAGCCAACAAAGTTGAAGCTAAGCAAGAGGAAAACGACCTTGCCTCAGTAGACCCCGTCAAGAAGGACAAGGACTTAGCTCAACCTCGTTCCCGAGGTGGGACGCCGGCACGAAGACTAAACCCTACAGCAGAAGTCGATGAAGTTGACGAGCTGGCGGGATCAGTTAGAACTCGAGACAAGGAGCAGAACAATGGTAGCAGCCCACTCAAATCCACCAGCGGTAGCCCTCTCAAACTTGTAAAGCGAAGACGCGACCGAAGCGAGCGCCATACGAGTAAAGTCGCGTCTCGCCGACGGAGCACGCTAAGTCCCTGGGAGTTGGATGCTCTCATTCAGGGGTCAGGTGCCGGGGTGGACTGTAACTAAATAAAAACGACTACACGATATCTACCCCAACCTACTTTATAACGACCTATATGTATCAAAGTATGATGATATAGGTAGCATGAGGTCTGCTAGAAAGCCCAACATTGGGCTCGCGGTCTTGTTTTATTGAAGCAGAAAATGATTACGAACGTTATGGATTGTTATGCAAAAGGGAAAACAAGAAGGAAGTAACGAATAAATGAATGAAATAGTATGTCTAGTGGGCATAATAATTTAAGATCCGGAAGCTCAAAGCGAAAGGAAAAATTGGTGTTGGGGAAGGGAGGTTGGATATTCAGGGTGCCAAGGCGGAATATCATCATGTCACGAAGATCACGCACGAAATTTTTTGAGCAAAGCTCCATCTGGCAAGTCTCCATGGGCGGGAGGATTGGGCGAGACTACATATATGCCGTGGATGCTACGACTTACTACAGAACTGACGGCGGGTAAAGCTGGTCGTTCGCTTACTACAGTATTTACTTTGTCTTATACCAATGAATGAAAGTATGATTAGCTATTTTATGACTTTGAGATGATGATTATGATGATATATGTTGGATGTTTTGCCTACCTAGTCGGTCGTTGTACTTTAGTAAGAAGCTCGACAACCCAAGGCGGGAATGGGAATTCGTCGTCCATTGCCTCTTCATAATAGATCCCGCCAACGCGTGGTGGCGATGGCACATCGAGGTCCGACAATACATTTGGATCAGGTAAATCCGGCTCAACATACACAATAGATAGACACAAGTGTAGACAAGAGTAGCGAAGTCTACAGAAGACAAAGAAGAAGAAAAAGGGAACAAGGCCGTTTGTTATCAGAGCAGGAATTGTTATAAAGCATGTTGCCTAGCAACGCAATAAAATAGCGTCACACAGAGCACGGCAACCCGCTGCTTCGACGCGTCGACCCCTTGCTTTTCTATACAGTATGCAAAGCTTCGTTAGGGAAGAGAGAATAGCTCGTACGGTAGGAGATTAACGTCCTATCATTTTTTTTTTTCAATTAATATTAACGCGCAAGAGCACAACTGCAAATCGTAACTGGTCATGCATGGATGAACTCTTCGCAAGAAGCGGGTATCTGAAGCGTGCTATTAAACAGAGCAGAAATAATGCAAAGAGGCTATCCTAGCCCATGCCAATACTGTGGGTATTCCGTGACATACTCTATGTCGACGCCGTCAAAAACATGACCCTCCTGTGCAAGTGTTCGTTCGCGATTCTACCGAATAGATCACGCACGCATGCCCTATACTTCCCTTTTCATACCCTCAACTAAAATGAACCATATTTCTACCGAACGTAAAATCGGACACTACGGTAGCTCGGTGTTTGAGAATTGTAAATGATCGTTGAAGAAGCGTTGTCGATCAGGGTGCATCGACGGCAGGTGAGGCGGCGGCCTACTGATAACCTGAGCATTATAATGAGTAGCAGCCCACTCCTGAAGGTCCGCCTTCGACTGCTTCGCTCGATGGTATATTATCTTAACCCCGCGTTGGATGAACTTTGCGAGTAAAGCATCCGAAAACTGCTCATTAGAGATATCAATACTGCGCAGATTAGGAAAGCGACTGACAAGCGTGAGTAGCCCCTCGTCGCACTGCTTGTACTGGCAAAGATTTTCCACGGTTAGTCCTGTAATGCTGAGGTATGTGAGACTTTCGCTTCTAAACCAGTCCGGAATCACAATTTTGAAGAGGCTTCCGAATAGCATGTGCACGGGGAATGGTCGGATGTCAAGCTCTCGCAGAGTACCCGATTCTATGCTAGGTCGAACAATTGTTTCGAATTCAGAGGTAGTGAGGGGTGTGTGTAGTAGTATCGACAATCTCTCAAGTCGACGAAGCTGGGGAAGGACTAAAGGTCCAACATAGATAGTTAGCAGCCATGGGGCTTGATGGTTGCCTGTGACCATAGGAGGGTAACACGTACTGAAGCGTGACTGAACAGACCGGCCCTCGAAATGTAGCTCACGCATATGTTCGTTGTAACCACCTTCCACGTCACCTTCACCAACGCCAGTACACAAACGAGCACAATTTCCAATAAATATGTTTTGCAGTTTTGGCCATTTGGCCATTAGCAGCTTAGACGAGTACGTGAGATTGTCGATCCAGGCCTCTTCCACGTTAGGAGCCAACTCTATGATGCCACGCTACATATGATTAGAATCGTGAAGAAGTCTTCGCAACAAAACGAACCTACCAAGTTGGGGACAGGGTCTACACGCAATTCGTAATTCGGATATGCGAGTCGAACAACTTTCAGCTTTTCAAGTTTTACCCAACCAGGATACCATGGCACCTGATCAGATGCCACTCTGGCACAGTGCGGAAGTTCGAAGACGGAGAGCTCTTCCAGCGAGCTCCCGCATGCAGTTATCAGTTGCTCTAAAACTTGAGGTCGTGGCCGTACTCCGTAACCCAAGGAGAGGTTAATGAGCTGTGGGAGCCGTAATTTTGGGGGCAATGATTCCAATTCAAAAGAACCTCGCGGCTCTCGGAGTTTAAGTACCTTGAGTTGCTGAGAGATTTCCATAACTTGTGAAAACTTACACCATTGCAAGAAGTGGGACAGGCCATCGATAGACAACTCTCTAAGAGCATTCTTGCCGTATTTGTTGTATGCTTTGAAGGTAGGTAGCATTCTTCGAATGCCAGGATGAGTTCGTTGGGTGAGCTTGTATGTCTGGACATGCCACAAGTCTCTAAGAGTGTTTGATTTGGTCAAGATATTGTTCCAAGCCTTAGAAACTCTCAAACAACGACTATTCATCGTGTCAGCAGGAAGTAAGAGAAGAAGCAGATTGCCGGGGCACCTTACCATAAGGTCTTGAAGTCAAGAAACTCAAATGTCATACGAACAAGCTCGATAGGAAACTTCGTGATAGGATCAAACGCGGCTAAAGTAGCTACCCTATCTCTCTGAGCTCGCAACTTCTATTCAATAGTTAGGGGGTATCCAGGGGTAACACAGCACGTATACGCACAGGCAACAAAGAATGATCAGGGTTCTTTCTCTCCACAAGTTCAATGCCTTGCCTATACATGTGGTACGCAAGGGTTTGCTTGCTTTTCAGGCGAAGTATTTTACCAAGACGCAGATAGACCTAAGATGGGTTAATAAACTTGCCGATTTCATCAGAAAGCCAGCATACCTTGGGTTCCCTCGGGGCGAGGTTAACCATACCCACGGCGAGGTTAAGACACTTGTCTAACTTGAACAACATCTCGTATGTAGCGATAAGCGAGTCAAGGGCGCGAATATGAACTTGCTTATCACAACGTTTGGAACGGGGCGTCAGGGTTGAAAGGACTTCCTTTAATTGGTTGTTTTCAATGCCCGTCAAGATATCTTCGTTGGAGTCTAATAGCATCCCGCCATGGATTTGACAGCTGCAAGAGCTTATAGCCTAGTAACGTAAGCGTGTGTAGGCATTCGGGTAAATAAATAAGATATGACAAACCTTCTGGAATAGTTTCGCTGCAGCTTCGTAGTCCTCCTGCGCATACAGTTCCAACCCCTTCTTAAGGACGGAGGAGCCCGCTGCCTCTCGGGCTGGCGCAGAGCCCTCAGAACTTCCCATTTTAAAGGGAAGTTGAAGTTTATCAAACTGTGTCGCGGAAATGGGTTTCGTCGATACAGAACGAAATACCGATTAGAAGTGCAAGGGGAATCGGCGCATCGTCAAATTCAACGTTTTATTAGGTAAAAGCTGCCGATTATGTGGCGCATTTGCACTAGGCGCCAAGAAAGAAGCATGTGTGAAAGTAAAAGACTGTTTAGGTTTAAGGGAAATGTTGCGACGCCGATGGAAAATAGACGGAAGTCAATAGACGCGGTTTAGATAAGTGAAGCAGCCACGCCGGAGACGCGTTAAGTGCAGTTGCATTAGTGGGGAATATGTCAGGGTAAATTTGAATAAGGTTTGGTGGTTTGGCGGGGTAGCGGTGTTACTATTAGCATACTATGTACCTACATTATAGGTAGGTACCTATGAACCTCACTTACATGTAGCCTCTTGTATAGAATACATGCCTAATGTACACATAAAATATACAACTTCTAATATAAATAGACCCTTTTAAGTGGATGAGATTTTAGGTTTGTCTCTCAGTTTTATCTTTTACATGTATACAGCCCTTAAAATTAGAGTCAAAATCAATTACGACGTATCCGTATAACCCAGATAAAAGATTTGTTAAAAGTTAGTAACTAAACGAAGTCATACCATATGATGGACCAAAACGGCCTAAAGTCATTTTACTTGTAAAATCCTGTTTCGTATTAAAACACCGCAATCCTGCTTTATCACGCACAGAATTGCTCATTACGATATTCTATTTCAGTGATCATGTTAAACTTAGCCACCTATATATATACTACCCAGGTATATACCACGGCTCTTTTATCGGTGGGGCATGGGAATCCATCGTGAAACTTTTCCTAATAAGAGAGATAGTTACATAGTTATATATATCCTAAAGTGGAGAAGTTTTAACGGAGGAGGTGATGTAATGGGAAAAGGCCAAATTCGACAATAAACAGACAGACAGACAGACATATCGATCCTGTAGGTATGTATCATGATACCTCGGCCGCAAGATGTGGCACAAACCGTTGCGGGGGCCGGAAAGCGGGAACTCGTGACCTTTTCGACCGCAATCCATCTGATTGTATCAACCTGAAATTAGATAGGCAGATTACCATGTCCCTTTGCTAATTTAACAGGTTATCGAAACCATAACTCGGAGCCGCAGCTTCGTCACACACAAAACAACACGCAACGAGGCCGAGTAGCCCATTTTTAAACGCTTCCTCTTACACATCCGATGCTACTATCGATATACATACCTACCTACCTAGATAGTATAAATAAATACACTAGTTATACGAACTCGTAACGTTAGGTGCTTACCGTACGACCCCATCCCGCCCAGACGGGAGCTCCCTTGTCTCCGCCCGTTAGCATTCCCATGACTTCCCTCGACGCTAGTCATTAGTATTAGTATTAGTATTAGTATTAATATTAGTATACCAACATGTATAACATAACAGGAGGAGGCGCTGTTATCGCCGAAGGAGCCGTCAAGGCCAAGCCAAGCCAAGCCCAGCCAGACCACTTACCTGCCCGCCACAGGGCTTTTTCTATGTATGTACATCCATTCGCGACCAAGCCAGCGCTCTTCTCCGCATCATCATCATCATCCTTCCCAAGATCCCATCCCGGAGTCTAGGCAATTCGCCTGGCGTCGAGGCGCAGGGTCCCTCATTTTCCGATAACCGTACCCCGGTTCGCAAAGTCCCGGCTAGGCTCGACGAGGACGGTAACGAAAAATGATGAAATTTGGTTGACAGGCCCCGCGGTAGGCCCAGGTTACATAGTGTATACATACATAGGTAACCTAGATACATAGGTACATATGTAGGTTAAAGACTTAAATCTATCCCAAACCCCCAAACCTCCCTTCCTTCACCCCACTTTATCGCGACCTCTGCAGATCGGAACACATTTCCTTCGGATCATTTATCTTCTACTTGATTGTTCTTAAGTATATCATACCAGACGATCCAGCGGTCTGCCAGGTCTTGCACTCTGTTCTATTCTGCCCTACCCGTCCAGTGCCTCCTACCCATTTCCGGCCATCCTGAGGAACCCCGTGAGGCGGACCATACGGGCTGTGACGAGCGGATGATGTAACGAGATCCCAATTGCCCACGGGGCAGATGAACATATTCTAATTCAGACCTCCGCAATCTGGGTTGTTGCTGATGCTGGCTGGGCAGGGCGAGGATCATAACTTACCGGGAGATGCCCCATCAGACTTCGTATTGACAAGATAGCTCTGCCCTTGCAGGATCGTTCGGCCTCCGATTTCCATATTCGGTTCGGGAATCCTTACTCGTAGTTTGTCTTTTATACATAGCTCGGTTGTAGTCTAGTGAGATTCTTTTTTGGTCTTTCGTCATCGGCCGATTCGGCCGTTAAACGTCATAGCTACTATACATAAACCGGAGGTGTAACGTGTATGTATGTGCTATATGTATGTGTGTACATCCCGATCTTCCAAATCTAAACGCCTCCCCCGTCTACCGATGTTGGATAATCGGGTAAAACTACAACAGCCGAGCTCCGCCCCGCGCAAGTTAGACAACGGTAGCGAGTGGCGAGCGCAAGTAACACATACATATGTAAATGCAATGCTCCCAGCTCGCGTCTACTCGCGTTTATGGCGTCAAATGCGTCAGCAGCGTCTAACAGCAGCCCCTAAAAGCCACGTGGAACAGCTGCGGTAGAACCAGAAACTAATTGAAACTAATTGGTACCTAAGGTATGCCCAGACCCAGACAGCCGAGGCGCACGGCACCTGAAGCACTTTGCTGTTGCAGGAAACATATCGCACGGTGGTCGTAAATGACTGATGCGGCACTTGGATTAGGTAGTTCGCATTATGCGGCAGACCTGCATCGTCCCTACATACATACATACATACATACATACATACATACATACATACATACATACATACATACATAACATCACCCATACATACATACATACACACATAGTGTAGGTTGCATAGGCGGGTCCCGGCGGCGTACGTGTCTGCGTTACGTATGTGGTTCAATTCATACCGCACTTATATCAGCCCACCCACCATCTTGTCCAAGTTAAATCTAAACAGATCGAGGCGCGGTAAGTTGATTATCTAAGAAATGCCAAGGGGGCCAGCTTCGGCTTGCCAAAAATGGAAAAGGTGAGGGGGGGAGGGGGGAGACTGATAAGAAGATTTGGCCTTTTCTGGAATGACGAGATTTCCCAGTCAAGAGACTTCGTGTTATGTAGTAGTGTAGGTTGTATGTATGTACCTCGATATGTCACAAGGCTTGGCATAGACTTTACCTATTTTTAGCTGCATACTCTAGACAAGGAGCCAGTGGCAATAGAGAGGTTCTTTTTCTAAACTCCGGCACCACAATTCTATCGGGCCGCTAGCCCCACCAAAGCTGATGGATAGCGGGGCTAAGAGATAGATTCTTAGAGGTAAGTTATAAGAGGCAGCTTATTATTACATATTGTCCAGGGTTTCTACGGAAGAGGCTGGGACACCAACTGCAACCTGATGATGATGAGTTTTGTTTTTATTATTAGTTAGTTAAAGGTTGTCGTATAACTAGCAATTCTATATAAGTCAGATGAGCAAGTACCTAACCTAGGTATGTTTAGTAGGTATGTATTGTTACTCAACAGTTTGTACCACCAAGTACTATTTGCATGCCATATACAGATAGAATACCCAATATATGGGATACCCACCGGAACCTATCAAAGGACGAACCTCTAATATTTCTCCAACCAACCGGCTAGGCGGGTTGGGTTGGGTTGTAAGCGCGTCGCAGTTCCCGTTCCCCGGGTCTAACTCGTACATATTGTTCGACAGAGATACGAGAACATGACTGGTTCGGCAATGATGGAGATGCTCACGCAGGCACATTTTTATTTGTCTGGCTAGTGTAATATGTAGTGTGCCACTCCGAACCTATCAACGTAGTCTTTTGTGCATCCGGTTCGACGCACGTTGTGTTCCCCTGGAAATTATAGCGTTGCTATGTATGGGTGTATGGGTGTATGGGTGTATGGGTGTATGGGTGTATGGGTGTATGGAGCGCAGGTACCCTCGATCTAGGTTAAGATGTCTAGATGGGTGGCCTCACAACCTGCGAGGCTGGCAAGGCTACACTTTTCAGCCGATTTGGGGGCGAAATTTATAACTACCTACCTACGTATCAAGATATTATTGCAGGGAATTATAAAATTTGTCTCATCCATTGCTCCTACTAGGCTTTTTAAGGCCACGAGATTTCACTACAATCATCTTTAATTTACTTCAGGCTGGAAATCTAAATGTGTTTAACAATTAACCCCTCATTTATAATTAACCCTATCCTTCATCTTAATAAATATAGCTAAGGTAACAATCTAGCAAAATAGTATTGTAATAGACGCATGATTATTCAATCATCTACATAACGTAAACCCCTCCAAAAGAAAAATGCGCTTGTTTTGACGCCATCCTCTCCGGCTATACGATTATTCCCGCCATTATAAATTCCTGTTTAGTAGTTAGAACTTGGCGCAGATCAGTTAGACTCACAACTACCTAAGCATTTATAGTAGCATGTTTATAACCCTTTTAGTTATGTGGATTAGTCACAATGATTCGGACGGAATCGTGGCTTAGAAATCAATAGGCCTTGGCTAACCTAGATTATTCAGCCTTAAGGATGACATATGTACGCATACACAATTTATCCCCAGTCACAAACATGGATGATTCTAGGATAGCATAGGATGGTCCTCAGCTAACTAACGTTTATTGAGCCGCCTCCTGCCGAAGTCGCATTGCCTAATCGGTGTATCATCCCCAGGCTTGCTCATTGCCCCCCCTTCTAATTCTCGCTGAGAGTTCTAATCTAGATGTTATAAAGTGCGTCTTCGTAGCTGGACGAAGCGCCGAGTGCCGTTGCCTATTGGGATCTGTGGGAGCGAACAACGGGGAACTTAATCGGTTATCAGCTGTTCCGTGCAGACCATGAGAACCGATCAGTGCCGCCGTCTAAAGCGAAGCCAGTTCGTCCTTCTCTCCCCGTATACCAAGACCTAGCTCAACTAAGTACAGCCTCGTAGGAAAGGAAATAGTTGGGAATACAAGATGACTGCTTCCAGAGCATAATTATGCTGTAAACTGATGTTACAGATGTGACCTGCCAGCAGAAACATGTGGTAAGAGATGAGAGAAACCCCAGAGACCCACCCAAAAAACCAGACACGAACCTCGAGAAAGAAAAAGAAAAAG